CCCGCGTTGGAGGAGTTGAGGGGTCGCCTTCAGGATCCCGACTCAGCACCCAGCCCTGTGTCTAAAAAAGTTACCTTAGTCAGGACAGCCAGCGTCAGGGGTTGTAAAAATGACTGGCTGCCTTTCATGGACAGATATTATATTGGTCTGCTTTTAAAACAGTGTGCTCGGGGCATTCATACCCATTTACTTCCATCTTGCTATGGAGTTTTAATATCTAAAATTGTAGGCTTTTAAAAATATAAACAAGTATTGGAAGGTTTTGCTTTCTCCATTTACAACCCTTATTTTCTGTAGCTCGAGAGAGAGAACTCAGATGTTGCTGTCTCGGTGGAACCAGTTGTGAGCTAGGCCCATGGTCAGGTGGCTGCTGACGTGAACAGGGATCTGTTTGGGTGTCTCTCTCCGTGCAGATTATTGCCACAGGTCTCCACTGTGTGTTGGTTGGCTGGTGTCATGAGAACGAGTGTATGAGAACGAGTTCTCACATGTGGCAGGGTGGCGATGCATAAAGAGTCCTGTGTAGATTTTACCGGTGGTGTAGTTATGGCCACCGACACACCCCGCGGTAAGAATCAACAGGCCGTGGAAATCGTTTTCCCAAATCCAAGCTTCAGCATGCTTGGGTCTGTTACATGGAAGACATCTGAGGAGTGTGGAAGCAATGACTGAGCATGGCAGTGTTTCCAGGGCTTAGAAGAGGAAATTTCACTTTTCAGGGTGGGAAGTGAGAAAAGCAAAGAATCAGCAGAATCAGCAAAGACGTTTAGGAAAAGGTGGAATTTGAATTGTGAGAGAGCCTATGCTTGCACGTGTGGAGCTGGTGCCATCAAGTATTGGGGCCTGGCAGAACTACAGGGTGGAAGTCAATTCATGGCTGAGTGCAAAGCATTTGAACCTTATTCAATAGGGAGGCACTGAGTTTTCTTTTTTAAAAATGTTTTTAATGAGATGAAATCACATAAACCACTTTAAATTCAGTGGCAGTTAGTACTCTGATTTTACATAGGAGGGCACCTGACCAGATGTGTGGTTCACAGTGAACTAGGCAGCAAGTACATAGGTGGATTGGAGCTGGACCAAGAAAGGAGGAAGAAAGAATGTTTGGAAAACCACTACTAGAATCCAGGCTACCATGGTAGGAGGGCAGAAACAGTAGGCATGGAGAGGAGAGGACAGAGGTCAGAGTTGATGGAGAAAATTGGAACGGCCTAGATAGAGAGCCAGGTAGAAAAAGAAAGGAAGGGAAGAAGAAAGAGGAGAAAGGTCATCCAAGAATAAAGATTATAGATTTGGAAATTTTCTTTGTAAAAGTGGAGGCAAAACTTTAAGACTGGATGGGATTATTAAGGAATGCCAATATATAGAGAAAAAAATATATATATATACTTTGGTGTAGTATACTTTGGTAAATATACTTAGTATATATTCTTTGGGAAAACTTTAAACCTTAAGAGATGAAAGGAAAGAAAAACCAGATTGTGTAACATGTGTTTAGAAAAATAAAACTAGGAGAGTTGGTATGACAGAAAAGTAGAGAGAAAAATATAAGGATCAAATACTGCAGGACAATTGAAAAGCTTAAAAATCGAGGGAAGCCATTGATTTTTATAACAAAAATGTTTTTGGTCAATTAAGAGAGTTATCAAACTTTGTAAGAATGAAATAGGCCAAGAATCTTGTCACTGAATGGGAGAGAGAAGGAAGGGCGGTTGGCTCAGGAGAAATGTTTTAGGTTCTAGGAGAAGGAAAGACTGAAGGAAAGGGCTCAGAGAAGTGAGTGAGATGAAAGATCCAAGAGTAGGAATATTTGAGGAGCAAAATTATGGAACATTTGGGATGGGATAATGAAGGCACAACTTGAGAAGCTCACTGTGGAAAGAAGAGAGATGATTTCTCTTCTGAAGTGAAGAATACAAGAGCAAGGATTACTATATAGAGGAATGTTTGGAGGCAAAAAAGTGGATCTAAAAGAAGTTGAGACTTTGTTCCCCTTGGCTTTGTTTAATAAAGTAAGAACTTGGATCATCTTCTGAGGTGAGTTGCTAGAGATAGGAGCAGGATCCAGGAGCTGGAGATGGGAGCAGGCGTACAAGGCAAGGAGCTGGAGGGAGGAGTGGAGTCTAGGATGAGGAACTCAAGATGGGAGCAGGGTGCAAGGGTGAAGAGCTGGAGACAGAAAAGGGGTTCATGGTGAGGAGCTGGAGATGAGAGCAGGGGTTGATAATTGGTGCTGAGGATGGGAAAAAGGGGTCCTGAGTAGTTGCTTTCAGCGCAAAAGTTCCTGCACTACTTAATACATTTGAAATATTGGCATAATTTTCTCTGTCCACCTCATCCGTGCCCCTTCTGTTTTTTGGTGTCTCTTTTTCTCTTTGAGTTTGGAATGTTGTGAGAATCAAAAAATTGTTGAGGAGCATTGAGAAGATAGACGGATTTGGTAGCATATTGATATTTTCTGTTTCTTTAAGTACAATGTATAAGACTTTTGCCAGTATATACGACTTTCAGAAAGAAAATCATAGTACTGTGTACTAGCATGGTTGAGTGAGACAGTTACTGATATTGTATTTCTTGCAATTAATGAAGCCTTAGAAGAGACATACCTTTTGGATTTTAGAGAGGTTTTAATTTCAGAGCGCTTCTGAGTGTGTTAGAAAGTGTCATGCTAGATTTGAGAGCACTTGCCTAGTATGCACCAAGCCCTGAGGTCCCAGCACCACCAAAAATTAAAAAAAAAATTTTTTTTTCTCTGTAGATCCAGTGAATAAACAATTTAAGTTTACAGGCCACATACTGTTTTTTCATCTTCCTTTTTAAATTTATTGTGTTAATCTTTTAAGAACATTAAAGACAATTTTTATCTTACAGGCAGTGGAATAACAGACCATTTACTATACTTTGCCCATAATGATATAAAACAAGATATTCAACAAGTAACTCTTTTCAGAAGTGTTTGAAGTGAACCATGGTCAGAAATCATATGGGGAAAGAGCTGGAAATGCATGATTGGTAATCTAAACATTGCAATTTTAAATTTAATTTGCGTTTATTTTGTTAGCCAAGCTGAATAATCTTTGAATTTTTTAAAATATTAAAGTTGGTGGTTTGTCAGATGACTCAGGAAACCATAAGGAATATACCATTTCAAAATTTGAGACTGAGGCAGTACTTCTTAAATAGTTAAGTAAATTTATTTCTCCATGACAATGAGGAGTGGGTTACTTGGAAAATTAAAATCAGTGTTTTCAAAACTCTGGAAATTAACCCAAAGCTTACAGCAACCTAAAGAGCATTCATTCAAGAAAAGATGTGGAACCTTTCTTAAGAACAATGGAGTTTGATGTGTTAACTTGTTCCAACTCCATTTCCTCTTCTGAGCCATCCTGATATCTCCAGGATTTCCTCAGCCCCAGCTGGTCTTGGAAACAAGCAGTTTTCAGTGACAGGGCAACTGAGCTCACAGCTTTTCAGTAAACCCCTCACTGTGGATATAAGGGATCAGTCCAGCCTTCAGGCATGGGGCTGTGCTGGGCCATCTCAGTGCCTGGGTCTGGGAGCTCAGGAGAACTGACGGTTAGTTCCTCAGGGCTGGAGGTGTGGGCCAGGCTTTCAGATGTGCTGCTGAGGAAGAGCTTTGCTGCCTTTAACCATCTTCTGAGGAGTGTGAAGTCCAGGGTTCTAGAGTGCTCCTATGGGCTAGAGTTTTCCTGGAAGAATCTTGCTGAGCATAATATCCATATCTGTTTGTCCTGAAACTTTTATACAAAGGAATAGAATAAAAGACAATAGAGAAAAATACTGGAAACAAAAACACAGATCAAAATCACCCCTTGTACCACTCTTACATACGGCCTCGGGGAGATACAAACCCTCACAATCTCTCCCTTTGCTGTTGTCCAGTTGTCTGAGCAGGGGAGAAATTAGCAGGCTTCACAGCATGCTGCAGGCCCTGGGGTCGTCCCTGTGCTCCTAGGACAGAAGCAGTTGGCCACCTGGCCTAGTGTGCACTCTCTCTCTAGACATGGAAACAACTGCATTTGAAATGCTTGGTTTAAAGGGATTTAATAAGCAGCCTCTAATTACGTTCTTTTTCTCTTTTTCCAGCTGCCTTTGTGGGAATTTTGCATTGGTAAGATTTAGTTTCAGTTGAAATAAAAAAACAATTGGATTAAAATTTGCCATCACAATTTGCATGCCATTAAATAGTTTCTGGTTATGTGTATAGAACCTCTCTAAACATACCAGTGTACGCTCATGTATTACTTTTTATTATACAAACCTCATGTGTGAAGCAGCATTTACAAAACAGATGCATTAGGGAAATAGTAACTTGTGAATTAAAATACCTTTGCTTTCCCAAAGAATTTACCACTGTATTTCTTGAAATATCTAGCTTTTCTAATGTATTTTGCAGTTTGCTTGATCATCTCTTCATTTTATAGTAACAGCGTGTTAGTGGCATGAATATAAAGCTTTTAGCAATGCTTGCCAGTTGGAAAGCAATCACAGTGAACAGAAGAAGGTTCCTTCCTGCTGGGGTAAAGCAGAATTGAATAATTCTGAACCTTCAGAATTGTATATGCACAGGCACTGGATTTCATAACATGCTCTATTTGTAACTGTATGGAAAATGAGGCTGCTTTCCCTCTGGAATGCTCTCATTTCCTCCTGAGCTCCTCCAGGGATTTTACTGTGGGAAGGGTGGGGTCCGCCCCACATTCTGTGGGCACAGTGCTGCTGTAGCTGCTGGGCCTCCAGGGAGCTCTTGGTGTCAGCAGTAGGGCTGGGATGGTAGGAGGCAGGCACCAGCCCCTGTGGGTACCAGTGACCCACATGGAAATAGGGGTAAATGAAGAACCAGAGTTTTGCCTCCTTTTCAACTTCATTGAAAAGCACTGCAAAAATTAAGGGTAGTGCATTTGTTGACTATAAATTAATTCGTTTGTCACATATGATCCTTTTGTCACTGCCAGTTCCTGTTGAGTTGCACTACTAAAATATCTTCCAGTTCAGTCCTGTGTTCGTTGGCATTTAATGGTGATCCTCTATCCAGTATTATGTTTATTTGAAAACCGATTTAATCTAAAGTGGCTTTACTTAAAATTATATTGTGAGCACTTCTCAAAAATTATAGAGGTATTTCTCAAACCTGCTAAATTTGAATCGCTTGTTAAAAACTTGCCTGTGTTCTCATTGAGAGGCCAGGGTACAAGGAAGAGGAGAGAATCACAGGGATTTTAAATATACACACACAAGTAAGATTAAGAACAAAGTTAAGGAGGTGTGTGCTACACTGGATTATAAATGCCCAAGACATACTAAGTTTGTAAGCAGCTACAGCACTGACTCAATATTTATTATGAAGATATATTTTTTCCTTTTTCATGGCTTTCTTACTTTGGTTATCTGTGATTTTGCAGTACTGATTTGGAAGCCTGTTCTTATTATAATCTTATAATAATTATATAATCAAAAATTCTATTTCAATTTTTTCCTAGGATACATTTAACAACACTTTTTGAGAATGACCGTCATTTTTCTCACCTCTCAACTTTGGAACGGGAGATGTCTTTTCGCAATGAAATGGTTAGTTTTTTCTTCTAATGATTTAATTTGTGCTTGAAAAAGAGTAAGACTGGGCCAGGGGTTCAGCTTGGTGGTTCTGCCGCCTGCCTCGCAAGCACAAGGTCCCAAGTTTGATCCCTAGTAAGAAGAGTAAAACTATAAAGTAGAAAATTGCAAGGAATGGAAGTGGATTTCTGTTCACTGGTGTTTCACGTTTCTCTTTTCTGTCTGTATGAATTTTCCAGAATAATAGGCACTTAAGCCACTGCTTTTTATTTTCATCAGTATAATCCCTGCAATGATTTGAAGAACTGGATATGTGAGCATTTGTATGGCATTTCAATATTTTAAAAGCATTTTTCCAGTGACAGGGTATAAAGTCTCAGTAAATAAAGAGGATAACTTTGGCAGCCTGGCCCTTGGTAACAGATAACAGTCCAGATAGCAGTTCTTGGATGGGTCATTTACCTGCCTAATTCTGGGTCATCTCAACTGTTAAGCAGAAATAATGACAACCACACAGGGTTTTAGAGAAAATGGAGATAAAGAACAGAAGCACAAATCACAGTACCCGGCAGAAAACAATGTCTTGTTATTAATGACAACTTATACGGTATGACTGAAATATATGGTGAATGTTTAAATTTTTAAAAGTATATTACAATAGGTGTCAGTCCTTTTTTTCAATGCTGGGATAAAATACCTGACACCCACAATTTAAAGGAGGAGAGGTTTATTGTGGCTCACACTTTCAGTCCTGGTCTGCTGGCTCCAAGGCAGGATGGCATGTTAGAGGGGAAAAGCTGCTCACCTCTTAGGGAACAGGAAGCAGAGGGAGGAGCCGGAAGGAGATATAACCTTCTAGGTGATGCCCCCAGTGACCTGGTCTTCTCCCACCAGGCTCCACCCGCTAAGAGCACATCAGCTAAATTCCCCATAATCCAGTCACCTTCCAAACGTGTGAAGCTTTGGGGGCCATTTTGGATCTAAATTATACCACAGTAAAAGACATATTGTCATTATAACCCGCTCAAAATACTCCTCTCTTCACTTAACACACTTATCCCATTACTCCGAAAGTCCTCTTTGTGAGTGTCTTTACTTGTGCTGGCCTGGATGCCTTGATGTCCTGAATTAATTCAATACTTTTAAATTTCTGTCAAATAAAAACATTATAGCATGTCCAGTGTCCATCACCGTATTTATTAGATCTGGCATCCTGCAACTTCTGGCTCTTCTGTAAAACCAAAATAATCATGAAAGATGAATGTTTTGAATGGATTCAGGACATTGAGTTAGTCACAAAGGACTTCCAGGTCTGTTCCAAGAAAGTGGCAAAAATGGGATAAGTATGTTTGTAGTGAGGGTGGCTAATTTGAAGGGTATTCATGGCAATGTCTTTTATTGTAATTCTTTTAAATTTAACATTCACTGTGCTTTTAGATCACACCTCATATTTATATATGTACTCTCCCTGTATACAGATTTTTTTCATATTAGATATCATTGAATTTTTGTAATGCCTTCTTGTACCCCCAGGGAAACTTCTATGAATTCATGTTTTGCCAATCAAAAATATGAGGTAGTGGCCTATCAGACACCAGTTCAAACATCTTCAATTTAGAAGCTGCTGCTGTTGCTTAGCCTATCAAAAATAAAGCAGAGGACTTCCGGTTCTCAGGATCTGCCCACAGCTTGTGCTCTCAGGAGTTTCTCTGCAGATGAGTACTGAAAAGAGAAAACAATGCCTCAGTAGAGCTTAACAGACTTAGAAGTATTCTCAGAGTAGAGAGTAGCATTTTAGTGAGAGATATTCAAGATAGCAGCTTGTAGCTTCCTAGCATTGCCAAGAGAAAATGCAGTGTGTGGTGAAAGATGGAAAAAAATGACATAAAAGTGGAGATAGATACACAGAAAATTAGAAAACTCTTCCAGACCACCATGGACAGAACCCAGGACAGGTGGGAAGAGCCCCAGGCAGACACAGGGCTGAGGGCAAGTGAAAGGGACGGGGAAGGTTGCAGAGTGGGTGCCCAGCACCCTCAAGGCCCTGGCTCCATCCCCAGCGCTGAGGAAAAGCATACAGGAAAGGGGAAAAGCAAACCAAAGCAAGGACAAAGATCTTGACTTTGTAGATCCTTAGAAAGGACAAATGTTACAGATGGGACAGATGTTTGAATGGCATGCGTATATTGGCTTCAGCTTCCACCAAATGAAAAAAATATTTTTTCATATTTTATCTTGACATTTTTTCTTTAATTCAAAATAATTCTTCCACTTTTGGAAAATGAATAAAATATATCCTTTGATGAATGAAGCTCAGTGGTGAGGTATTAATCAAACACTAAAATCCTCCCAAGAATGAATGTCCTTGTACTGTTTGTGCTTACAACTTTGTGAATGTAGTCAAAAGATCAAAATGATATCCTGTCAGAATTGAGTGAACTGAGGTTTTTTTTAAAGCTGTTGTGTAATCATGATATTTAAAAATGTAGTACCAGTGGATCTTATAAATTTTGGAATTTTGATTATGTATTAATTCTGGATAAAAGATACTTCGTATGTAAAAAATAAAGAAATGAAACTAGAAGGACTGTAGAGTTAGTGCATGTTATTTTTAGATTTTGGAGGGAGGAAAGTGTGTTTTAAACAATTTGATCCATTATTTGCTTTTATAAATGATGTAGCCCTTGTTTTTTATTGTATTTGAAAATGTCAAAGTGATGAAGGAAGTAATGTGAAACAACCTGCTTTTCAAAAACCCTCGAGTTTTACCTTTAATGAATGAAAGCACTGTATGTCACTAACAAAAGCTAAAATTAATAATATAAGAATGACAGCAGGGAAGGTGGAATTAGAGGAAGGGAAGGGAGGAGTGACAGAAATGGATTTTTTAAAAAGCTGTGTTATGTTCATATACCCATTCCTGAGATTATTGTAAGCTGCATGTACTGGAAACATGTACTAATTTTTTTAAATGGGGAAAAATCCTCAAGTTTTAAATCAGCAACCTATTTACAGCATGATAAAGTGATGATTTTGTATGTTTGAGTGAGTTACTAAGATCACCCCCTTTCTAGCACCCACTTTTGTGGATAACAAAAGCCATCTGACATTTACTGTTCACTTTAAGCAGAGACAGACATGGGGCTGTGAGATAAGATGGAAGCGTTAGGTTCTGTTCCTATGGTGTGCTTGCGATCATGATGCGTTCTTTCTTAAGACTATGGGAAAAAGAAGCGATTGCATGCAAAATTGTATAGGGTCATGAAAGAATCCTTTTTTATGATAGAATTTATGATACAACACATTCCAAGCACAGGGGTAAAATGAGATTTCCTAAAATCAAAATTATATTGTGTGCATATTTTAAGTCACTATTAGAAAAGTTGGCCAGGCATTGTGGCACACACTTGTAATCTCAGCACTTGGGAGGCTGAGGCAGGAGCATCACCACAAGTTTGAGGCTAACATGGGCTACATAGTAAGACCTCATCTTGAAAATTAAAAAAAAAAAAAGAAAGAAAGAAAGAAAGAAAGAGGGAAAATAAAAGCTTGTTGAAATATTTGATCATCCTCAAACTCTGTAGTCTGAAAAATTTCAATATATAGAAAAATTGAAGGAATAATTCAGTGATAATCTAAAAATACATGCTTCCTTAGTTCACTAATGCAAATGGAGGAGTAATTAGGAATTCTTATTATTGACCTTTCCCTTTTTTCAGAAAACTATATCCTAAAATGTTTTTTAAAATATTTTTTACTCAGCAGTAAAGAAGAATGAAATTGTATCTTTTGTAGGAAAAATAGAACAGATAGAACTAGGAACCATCATGATAAGTGAAATTAGCCAGACTCAGGAAGTTAAATATTACATGTTTTCTCTTATTTGAGAAATCAAATGAATGTTTAAAAATAAAGGAGAGATGGCAGGAAATGAGCAGGTAGCCTGTTGGAGACAGGGAAGGGCATCACGGAGAGGGGCGTGGAAAGGGAAAGGGGCTAGATGGGATGGAAAATGATCAAGAATATTAAATGCATGTACAGATCTCCCCAAACAAACTCCACGATTCTATAATATGAATAGGCACTAATACAAAATTAAAAATAAAATATTTTAAAATTTTATTTATATTGACCATATGCTCCTTTTTATTTTTTATAAAGGGACTGTATTATTCTTACTTCAAGACCCTCATTGAAGCACCTTCATTTTTGGAAGGCCTGTGGATGATTATGAATGACAGGCTTACTGAGTATCCCCTTGTAATTAATGCAGTGAAACGATTCCATCTTTATCCAGAGGTGAGTGATACTTGAGATGAATAATACTTGCTGTATGATTCTTTTTTAATCAGATAAAGGCACTAAGTATATTGAGGCTAATAAAAAGGAGGGGACCTACTAGGTTGATTGATTATATATGCTTGTATAGTTGAATAGAGTAATGAAAGTTCCTTTCTTAATATGTAAATGTCCCGGTAACAATGTTCATATGCACTTAAAGAATTAAGGTTAGTATGGGAGACATGGCCAGGTAATAAACCAGCCAAATGAGAAAGTGAGTCATGAGCACTCTCCCTGGGCCTGTGGGCCTCGGATAGCATGTGGGTGGGCACGGTGACTGCATGAAGGGCCAGCGAAGTGATGAGCAGGACAGTGCCCTACAGCGACAGTTCATTAGTGAAAGACGGTTTAAGGCCTGGAGACGTAGCTCAGTGGTAGAGGTTTGATCTGCTGCACTGGTGGACAAAAAAAGATTGATTTAGTCATGTAGCCAGAAATCTCTGGATAGCTTCTATTGCTTGACCTTAAAATTTGGTATGGTTTTTATGGGAATCTGCAGTTTCTAGAGATTTGAAAAACAACAAAAGATTAGTAAACTCAATTTGTAAACACTTAAAACAAATACTGAATTTGTCACGATGGACATTTAGCTTCCAGTTTCAAGTTATCTCAGAGTATGGCAGATTAAGTGAAAGTTACTTCATGTTTAGCCTTCATATTTAATAGGTTTAAAATTATTATTCAGAATTTGAAATGTTTAAGATTATAGAAACTTAGAGAATAATAAATACTTGGCTATATTAGATCAGCCACCTAAAATAGAATAGGATAAGAAAATGCTTAATCTTTTGTCATTTTTGAGCCAGATTTTTTTAAAAAAAACTTAAGCGTTTAAATAACACCAAAATCACCTTTGTTTTACTTCCAGACCTATTTGCTTCTCTCCTCTTCTCACAAGAATCCCTTATTGTAAATATGTGAGAATTCATCTGATCCATTTCAAGCATGTTTTTTTGTGTTTTGAGTCCTCATAAATGCTCGCATACTGAATATGCCCCTCTATAACATTCTCTTCAGTGTTATGTATATTTTTGAATTCTGTGTATGTATGAATATTTCTTCAATTTAAACTCTTTAATGAATTCCAAATTTTATTTCTACATTTCCCTGTTAGTAGATACCAAGTAATTTCTAATTTTTCTGTTACCAACAGCTCGAAATGCAGGTTCCTGTATGTGCTTTTTCCTGAGCATGGGCAGGATTTTCTCTAGGCCAAGTACCCAGAGGTGCAGATGAGATGCTGCAGTTTAAGGAGCTTTTTTGAAGATTCTTTTGGATTTTCTTTTGTATATGATGAAGTTGGGATTAAGAAAGGCAGTTTTACTCCTTAGTTTCCAAGCTGTATACTTGAAAACATTTTAAATCAGCTTTATTGGGATATAATTAGGTTACCACAGCTGGTCATGAATAAAGTATACAGTTTGATATGATTTGGCCCCAGCACCCACCTGTGAAGCTGTACCACAATCCAGACAGGGCCCTGTCTGTCATGCCTGGAGTTCCCTAGTGATCTCTTCTTCCTGCTCTCCTCTGCCTACATCCCATCCCTGGGAAACCACCAGTATGCTTTATGTTGCTGTAGTCCAGTTCGCATTTTGTAGAATTTTATACAGACAGAATCATAGAGTTGGTCTGTGCACAGGTCCTGATTTATACAGTTGCCTGAATAGTGGCACAGAGGTCAGTTGTTATTTATTTTCCCTAGGGAAGGGAGCACATTTTGCCATGCAGCGACACTGGGGAAATTAATACCAGTTTGACCAAGCAGAAGTAAGTGCAAAGGGAGGGCCTAGGCCAGAGCTCTTGCGGGGTTTCTGTGGGACAGACAGAGCAGGGCAGAGTGAGAAACTCATCAGCAAAATCAAAATACAACTGAAAACCTGGGGGAAAATATTTGTAATACATGTCAGAGAAGAAGGAAGACTCAACTCAACAATTTTAATGAATTGCTAAAGGCTACGTATGAGCTAGTGTGAGTTGCAAAGGCCCTCAGTTTGTAGTCTTTCTTGGGGAAGAAGAAAGTATAGAGAATGTTTTCCCTGTGCCAGTGAGGGAGGGAACAGCAGCACTGTCCATACCCCTTCAAACCTGTGTTCCTAGTCTCCCCTAGTTAAAATCGCCATAATCTGTGGGGAGAACATATCAAAGCTATAGTTTGAGGACACTGGTGAATACTCAGTGCAGCTGGTAGAAGAGAACACACAGGGAAAGAATAAATTGAAAAAGTAGCTGTGTTTCTGGACAAGAGGCAGGGCCACCTGTGAGGTCACACCTGCAAGAGCCAAGTTCACTGTACTTGCCTAAGACAGCAACCTCTCACCTTCAGCCCAGCTACTGTATTAATGAGCTGTGAATAAAAATATCAGTGGAATAGGGCTGGGCAAAGTTTTGTCTTTTTTTGCCACTGAGGTATACCCTGGTCTATTTTGGGTGACTTACAAGGAAGTTTCGTTCTTTCTACAGAGCCACTAAAGAGAAAACCCAAACCCAGCTAAAGACATGATAGTAATTTGAAATCCTTGGTGTTCATACCAACAACAAACTCTAGCTCTGGGAATCATAGCAACAATATACTCAAACCCAGCCCATCTCCTGGACTAGTTGAACACAACCCCCCGTAATAAAGGCTTAGCTGAAGGAAAGAAAAATTCTGGATTCGGAGAAGTCCAGGATGAAGGCCCTGGCAGGCTCAGTTGTCTGGTGAGACTGCTGTCTGCTGTCAAGATGTCCCCTGGATGTGATGCTGCATCCCCTGGGGACAAGGGGCACTGTCTTCTGGTGGCAGAAGTGGGGAGACCAGATGAAGCCTGTTTTGTAGAGGCCCTAATCCCATTCACAAAAGACGAATCTTCAAGTCCCCTCAGAGCTGTCGCACTAAGTTTAGCACCTGAGTTTTGCATGGAGCACATTCAGACCATTGCAAGGCCCACTGGTGTTTGTAGACTGTCAGGCTCTTGAACTCCAAATCTAAGAAAATGTGACAAAAAAGGAAGCCTGGGGAATTTATAATTATGCTGGTCATTGAATTCCATGTCTGCTTCCTCCTCTCTACTTTCCAAGGTTGTCTTATGCTTGATTTATATATAACTCATAGGGTTTTCATTTATACTTGGAGGGAGTAATAGGGAAAAAAAATATACATTCTATTGCCCCAAAAGCAGATATTCACATTATGTATTTGTATATTGTGTTTTCATTTTCCTTCAGCTCAAATTATTTTTTAATTTCCCATGTTAATTTTCTTGGATCTGTTGTATATTTAGAATTATGTTGTTTTAATTTTCAAGTATTTGGAGGTTCCCCAGATTTGTATGTTTTAAAATATCACTTGTAATAGTAAGAATTGCACAATCTGCCTAGAATTATAGAAGCAGTTTTTGTACCAGCTTTCTCTATATCCTGCTTTACTCTTCAGAGGCACTGTTCTGATTTTATTTTGTCTTGTGGTTATTTGTCTATGATAAATGCAAGAATCAGACAAAAAACTTGCTCTTACATCTTCAACTTAATATTGACTTGTTTTGTGTGTGTGTGTCTGTGTATATATATGAAAATTTGTTCTAGTGTTTAAAAATTACTTTAAATTTTTGTATCTTTCAATTATATAATAAAATCTCTATTTTTGTTCATTAATTTCCAAAAGCATAGTCTTAGAGACCTTAACTACTTTCTTTTTATTTATTCGACAATATTTATTTAACAATTAAGAAATATTTTTAGTTTCTTTTTATAATTATTTCTAAAGCATTATTCTGTGCATTATAAAGGACAGATAATAAGGAGTTGTTCTGAGTCTTATTTTCATGTTTTGTAAACATAAGAAGACCTAGATGTGCAGCCAACTCTCAGGTAGTATAACAGTGTTGAGTTGTATATTCATTTCTTATGTGCTCACAAGATTAATTGCTCATGAGAAGCTAAATTCCTAATTTAGAACAATGTTTTGAAAAGGTAAAAGTATCTAATGCTTGTCATGTGGCAGCACTTTCAATACAAGCCCTCACCCCCCCCCACACACCCTGCAAATGAGGCTTAGAGGCTGAAGATGGATGACTTGAGGTCAGAAAAGCTGTAACTGGCAAATTCAGGATTTCAGTTCAGAGCTGACATGAAATCCTGGATTTCTTTTCTGTGTCAGAGCACATCCCAGAGAGGAATAGATTTCTAGAGTTAGGGCACACTTTAATACAGTACTTTTGTATGTGTGTTAAAAAAATACGCAAGAATAGGAATGATATGATAAATTTTAGCAGAATGTTTTTAAAATTAAAATGGTAAAACAGTAAATCTACACTTACTTGGCATGGAAAGATGATTATGCTGTCATTTAGTGATGTATATTCTATTACTATCTGAAGTATAATCTTTGCATGTGACAAGAGTAACTGTGTGCTTCTAATGCCCAGGGAGGTGACCAGAAGGACACCCACCCAAATACATAAAGTCTAAGCTCTGGGTGGTACTCACTTTGCCTTCCCAACTCTTTATTTATTTTTTACACCCTCCCTGTGATCTCACATAATTTATCCAAATTCTATAAACTTATTTTTTAAAATCTCTCAGATGCAAGCATTTTTTTGTAATTTTTTTTGTGTTGTTTCCCCTCTTCTTTTGTACTTTTAGAAATGGATTGCAGATTAGGAAGAATTGGTTAATTAAATCTTCTGCTTGGTCCAACTTGACTGGACAGAGGAACTATTATTCCATTTTATTCTAGTTTTTAAAATAATATATTTTAATGAGGATATAAATTCAAAGATCTAAATGAAATGTTACCAAATATTCCTGCAAATATGTGTACTTTTGTAGTAACTATCATCATATTTTAATTATATATTTTTATGAGGTCCTTTCAGACCTGAGGATTGAACATAGCATTTATCTCAGTCTTTTTTACTTTCTTATTTTGAGACAGGATCTTGCTAAGTCACTAAGTTACCCAGGCTGGGTTCAAAGTCACATATCTCCAACATCAGCCTTCCAGAGCACTGAGATTATTGGTGTGCACCATTGTATGTGGCTTATGTATAGGTATTTATATTACTATAATTGATTACTATATATAAATATTATATAACATGTATACATGCAGCTTTTAAATGACTATTTCCTAAGTAAGATGATTTAAGTAAATTCATCAAAGTTTATAACATCAAAGGAAACCATCATAAAATGGTAGCTTGGAAAAATTATTATGAAGAGAATATATTTTCTTTCATTATCTCTTTGTTTTCTCTTTTGTAGGTAGTCCTAGCTTACTGGTATCGCACATTCACAGGAATAACGAATTTGTTTGGGATAGAAACTAAAGCCTGCTGGAATGTCACCAGAGTGGGATTTCCTAGTGAAATTGAGAGCTGTGAAGGTCTGTGTCTTCCTCCAACCTTCCGTTCTGTCCTTTGGGCTTCATAAACACAAGAATCGCTGCAAACAGATGTGACTCAGTTTTTCCTTTAAGCCATACTAGAAATGATTCAGCTCAGTGATTATTTTACACTTCAGTTTTCTAAGAAGGCTCTGTAGTTGCTAATTTGAATATAAATTTAGAATTCAATTTGTGTATTAATTTAGCTCAGTAGAAGGCAAACTTAAGTAAAAGTCTCCTAACAGAATGAGGTAATACAAATAAGAGTGTTTTGAGTGACTTCTAAATATCATAAATTTGGGGGCTCAATTAGTCAAGTATACACTTGTACTAGTAGCACAAACATTGAAAAATGAGTTTCAGATTATAGTGACTACCTTGCTTTTCTACATACTCACAGTCCAGTGGATAATTCTAGCCAAACTCTTCCTGTGTGTCTTCCACATTGGTGTCTTTGTCAAATAACTGCTTTTGGAGTTCTGTAACAGTTCTCCAGGATATGCGGTGGTCACTGCTATTTCAGATGTGTGCAGTTTGGCACTTTGACAGCCCAAGGATGATGGTGTCCCTTGGGACTCTTTCAGAGTCACATATTTCTACCTGCATAGCATTTACACAATTGTTTATTTCTTCCACGCCCCACAAAATGACTATTTACTATATTTTATAAATATGTTTTATAGACTGGTTTATAATAACATTCACCTCTGGGAATATAATCTATATTTCCCTAATATTTTTACTAATTCCCTTAGGTAACTTTATGAAATCTAAAAAAATGGATAGAAGATATGTAAGGGACAGTTAGACTTTTGTTTGTTTACTATATAAAAGAATAGAGAAAATACCTTGTGAATTGAGACTAGAAGTTATAGCCTTTTCTAAGGAATGAAAGCATCACATTTTACAGGGACAAACATGGTACTTCCTAAATTTCCAATAAGTAACAGGTTAGAATTTGGCACTTGGGTTGCAGCAGTGGCCCAGTGGACATGGTCCTTATCCTCACGGAGTCTATATCATGATGTAGCAGTTATAATTGTGATGGAAAATACACATAAGGCAACAGAGCTAGCAAGAACAGTATTTCATGGGTAGGAACCAGTATATTTAGTCCCTGGCATCATGAATAAAGTACAAAAGTGGTAAGGTAGACCAGAGAGAAGACTGGTCTTCTTGGAACAGAGAGGGAGGGAGGGGAAGTGGTGTTACAAGTGTGACATCATAGTGGGCTATATGGGGGGAAGGATTTTGTATTTTATTCACTGAGGAAATTTAACAGATTTTTTTCCCTTGAGAATTATTTTGGTGTATGTTTGGAAAGGATACCATTGGCCTTCAGGAAGCCAGAGACTACTGTGCCCTTAGCACATGGTTTGTACAGAGAGAGAGCTGTGAGATGCCAGGTCTTGGGAGACACCTTGGAAGTAGAGTTAACAAGACTTGGTAACTGATGGGAAGGAGGGAAGAGAGTGAAAAGGTTCTGTAACTCTATTTGGTTTCAAGCTTGAATAATTGAGTCCCTTCAGCAATATGACAAGCATGACAAGGACAGGCATGAATTGCTGTGATTCACTGTGGATGCATTAGCTTGAGATCCTAGAGAGATGTCACATGGCTACCTGGAGCTTTAGGAACAGGAAGAATATTTGGGGCTGAGCGTAGACTTGGACTCATCTCTAGGCAGATGATACTCAGAGCTACAGAAGTGGAAGAATTTTCTTAAGGATAATATGCAGACCGAGAAGAGAAGAGAGCGGGTGACAGAGGTTAGGGAGAGCCATTGTTGCAGCGAGGGTGCATACACAAGCGAGGTTACAGGACAGACTGGAGGGAGTGGCCAGGGAGGCAGGAGGGTCACAAGGCCAGCCTTCAAGTCTTGGCTCCAACCAGTTAGATATGAGAAACTTTCGGCAGATTATTTAAGTTCTCTATTTGTTTTCTCAGCTATAAAAATACTTTTATGATATCTGAACTTTGTCTGAGAATCATGTGAAGTGATGATTATAAAACAAATAAGAAGTGCTATACACAATCTTGTTTGTGGGATATATTAAAATTCTAGCTCTCAGTAATAATGGGTCAAATAACTGGATCATCTCTTTCAGACTAAAGCTGTTCCTTGAGGCCAGAAACTTTATCTTACTTCTTCCAGAGCCTACAAAAGTAAAAATAATTCAATGGCTTTCTTTTGGGAGTCGTCAGGTGGCTCTACAGATAATTCCAGACATTGAGGAGGAACAGCAGCAGCATCTTCATTAGGGGAATTTATAAATGTAATTAAATAATGCACTGTAGGGGCTGGAGATGTAGCTCTGTGGTAGAGCCCTTGCCTAGAATGCACAAGGTCCTGGGTTTGATCCACAGCAACAAACCCACCTGTTCTACTCCCCCGACAAATGGGAAAAGATTATTGAAACTAATTAGAGAGCATCAATCTGAAAGCAAACACTTGCAGCAAATTCATGAGGCCTTGAGTAAAAAGCACTGAGATAATTATGCTCCCTTGCTTTATAGCCATTTGTTCACTAAATGCTGGATAATCTGTGTCTTTTCAAAGGATTGGGAGACCCTGCTTGCTTTTATGTAGGTGCAATTTTTATCTTAAATGGAGTCATGGTGGGATTGTTCTTCATCTACGCTACATACTTGAGGTGAGACACTGAATTAAAATATCTGGCTGATCTTATAAGGATTAGATGATAATTGTTGATTACATGAGAAAGAATTAAATGATGTTAATTGATTAATAGTAGGAATATTTGTAGATTTATTTGAATTTTCAGATGGTTATCCAATGTCATACAATCAAAAAAATGGAAATATTACTCCATACCTTAAATAAGGCCTCTCTTTTATCTTTGTGGTGATGTTTGTGTAACTATGATTTTTCAGCCAAAGTTTTAATAAAAATACTTCTCTTCCTCTGTAGTTTATTGCAACATTTGAGGGATCTCTGGTTAGCATTAATTAATTTATTCTCATTTTATTCTCTTTATATCTGGGATTAAGAAAACTATAAAAATAATTGTGAATCCTTTGTAGCAGACACATATTTGTTAGCCCACCTTTTTTTTGATAATGCCACAGCTTTGTTTGGAGGAACAGTGTGCCCAGTCTCAGATAATAAGATGAAATTAATTGTTATAGCCATATGCTTTCCTCCCAGGCTCTATTGCTCTGTGACAGAACCCTATGAGCTAGATTTTGCTAATAATAAATAAAGGACCTTGGAAAGTATTTGCCTTTGTCACAAAGGGATATATTCAACTATCGCTATACCTTCATGTTTTTATGTGGAAATGTTGCCCGGAGCAAAAGCAGTCATCTTGTGGCCATGAGAAAAAGTCCATAAAAATAGCAGACATATCTGGCTTAACATGCTGAACCTGTACTGATAGATATTTACCTCTTCTCTTTTTTGTTGAATGATATGGTGCACACTCATATCATTTAAGACACTTTTGTCAGAATTTTTTGTTTCCTTCAGTGAAATATATTCCTAAATCATCATTTTTCTTTACAGTGTTATTCATGAGATTTAAGAAACATTTCAAGTTAAAAATCTAGATTTAATCCAACAAATATTTACTAAATTTTCATAGGGTTTATGTCAATATAGATTAATATTTATATGTACTCTTTGTTTTAAGGAGTTTGGGGCATAAAAGGACTTGCATAGAATCAGTGAAAATTAGTGACATATATAATATTGTATCATGGATCTTATTCAACATAATAGGCTAATGTATAAGGGTTGGAAAACTTGAAAGAAGTAAATTTTTTGAAAAGTTCACATTCTATATGTGTAAAAAAAACTAAAAATAAAATATTTGAAGCATTTAGAAAACTTATGTTACTTGAACACAAACATTAATGCACAAAATTATAAATTTTAAACTCTAGCATCAAACAAAAAAATTTTAAAAAGATGTTAGATTAAATAAATATAAGAATAAATATAAATAAAAATATAAATTAAATATAAGAATAAATTAATGAAATGTATGTATAACTGTTATGAGAAAACTTGTTAAAATTAAGATGCATTTAAGAAAATGGAAATAAATGAAGAGTTATACTATGTTAATGGATTGGAAGATGATAATTATCCCAAATTGATTCAAAGATTCAATGCTCTACCAATCAACATTCTGCCATACTTTTTTGACCCCTACTAGCTGGTTTTAAAGTTATTCAGAAATGCAAAAGGCCAAATTTGTTTAGCACATTTTTAAAAAAGATAAAACTTGCTTTATCAATTATTGCTATATCATAACACTAATGTAAATAAGACAGCATGCTAGACAGATAACAAGAATAGGGTAGAGGCCAGACACAGAAATGAATGTAAATTTAAAAACACTTAGTGTGTGCTACATCAAACATTGCAGCCTATCCTTGTACAAATGATAAGCTTTTCATAACTATTGATGTGTATTAATTGTTATATTGATGATCTTAGAATCATGATAACAGCTGTCTTAGGAGTGTCCACTGGGGACTCAGGGTGTAATAATTTCTCTACTTAATTTACTTATATGGTGACTGCATAGATCTTCACTTTATAATTCTTCTGTAAGCAAGAGGTTTTTTTATACTGTACTTTTCTATATGTCATATGGGAAGACTTTGGAAGGATAGCTTTGAGATAGTTTTGTCAGGCTTAAGTGTTCAAGTTTTGAAAATATACTAATTTCTTTTTTAATGTCTAAAACTTTACACAGCTGTGACTAAAAGTTTTAAATCAGTATTTTTCATTAGGAAGGCTGCCCAAGAGTGTACATTCTCTCTAAACTGTTTACACAGTTAAGAAATATTAGACACATTACTAGTCTCCAGTCTTTAAGAAGGATATATGGATGTAACCATTATGAACTAAAATGAACATAAAAATATCACCAAAACTGAATAGAAACTAAAACATATGAGAAACAAAAGAAATAGAAATTTGAAATTTGTAGTCACTCTTTTTCTGTCCCTTGGGTGAATAACCATAAAATGTTAATATGCACATTTAATTTGGTTAAATGTAAAATGAATCCATGTCTTTCCCTTCTTCTGATCAGTACATGGAACTATAGAATGCTCTCCTGAAACGCCCTCTCACGTCTTACATGTTAGGACCACAGTCAGTACTCCCATCACCCCTCTGCAGCAGCCAGTATTACTATTAGTATTTGGGGAGTTGCCAGATATTTTATTTCATCTGCACGGTCACAGTTCCTGTGTGCACAGCCTGTCCTTGCTTCACGTGCTTCCTTCTTTCAATCTCTTCCTTTCTGAAGTGGATCCCTTGAATTTCCTTTAGTGAGAGTCTGTTTATGGTCACCTACTTCCCAGTCACTTCCCTGTGCTTGTTTTTAGGAACTCCTTCCTTCCTTTCTTCATTCGTCTACCCAGTCTGCACTGTCTTCCAAGTGTGGAGCTAGGGATACAGCAAAGCACAAGATCCAGAGGATTCTATTAGTGCAGGGTTTGGGATGCCATGACTATAGCAGTGGTGGTCGGGACTCTGCCTGGAAGTGGATGTGAGTGCTGTGTCTAGGAAATAGTTCTCACTCTCTGATGGTAATTGGCTGCCTTTGTATGTTGCTGCTTCCTTCAAACTCAGCAAAGTGATATATACAGTCACTTATTGCTGTTATTGCTTAACAAACTGTTAGAGCCTATGGCCCAGTCACTTAAAATCAATTTCAAAAGACAAAACTGTCTCAATTTAGATTATCCAAAGAATGTGATGTAGACTGAAGTGGTAGTCTGTTGGTTTAAAAAAAACTATACTAGGTATTTAACCCAGGCTAGGTTCAAACTTATACTCCTTCTGTCATGGACTTCCAGAATGCTGGGGTTATATGTGTATCACCATGCCTGGCTTGTTAAAAAATGTTTTATGCTCACTAATTATCTATTTATAAAATATTTTAAATATAGTACATTTAAAAATTGAGACTACAGTATACATAAAATTTTTGTGTTTGTACTTTCAAGAGAAAACATCAACTACATGGGCACTCTTGAAATTTTTGCTTATGTTTTAAATACAGAAAAATTGGTTTAAATTCTGAGATTTAAAAAAATCTCTATTTTACATGAATTATGATTTCCTACTTTTTTTTACAGTGGGAGTCAATTAGGAGGTCTGCTTACAGTACTGTGCTACTTTTTCAACCACGGAGAGGTTTGTTTTCTGAAAAATAATTTTAAGCACTAGAGAGGTTATATAAGAACAAAGAAATGTAATCATTAAAATAATATATAGTTGCATATTATCTGTGACTTGGCAGTATTTGGTAGAACCTTATGTTGTAAGTTGGTATTTTAATTGTGTTGATCTAAATTTTTAAATCATTAGGGGTTAAAATATGTGAAATAATCTTGCCTGGTCTTTAGTGAGTTTTTACATATACATATGTTCTGTAGATCAAAGGAAGTACCATTCTCATGAGTCAGACACTCTACATTTATTCCTAGCAAACCCTGTTGGAGGTGGCCGCTGTCCTTACTGCGCACATTCTGACAAGGAGTTTTACAGAGCTTAGGTTCCTTACCCAGGACTGCCCATTCTCTACCTGATGAAGCTGAGGTCTCCTTCTCTCCCTTTACTGTGGATTGAACCCAGGGCCTGCACACTGAGCTCTACATTCCTAGGCTGGGCTCAAACATTTGACCCTCCTGCCTCAGACTCCCAGAGTACTGAGATTGTAGGAATTGTGCCACCATGTGTGATTATATATTTCACTTTTTGTATTGTGGTAAGAGCACTTAACATAATATCTGCCCTCTTAACAGCTTCACAGCACTGTAATAGAGCATTAACAAAACCCTGTACAGCAGATCTCTAGAATGTATTCATCTTGCTTAGGTGCATCTTTATGTACTTGCATTTCTCCAAGGTTGTGAGCCACCCTGGATTCTGACCATGGGTACCAAGCTGAGGCTTTGCCACCTATGACCTTACTTCTATGTCATTGTGACACAGAATGCTGAATCCAAAGTAGCGGTTTGCATACTAATTCATCCCAGATGAACATAGTTCACCAAAAAGAGCTCACAGAAACTCACGTAGAATGTGATGGATCACTGCACAACATGTTGCACATGTACAAACCATGTGCCCGACTGTTAGAGCCTGAGGATATGGCAGTGAGAGAGAGAGGGAGTCCCACTGCTACCTCTCGGAAGCAGAATACGTGCTGTGTATCACCATGGGTTACGTAGGGCAGGAGTCGTTGTGAGTTCCACTGGGTGAAGTCTTAAACCGGTTAGATAAGGGGATAATAAAATCTATGCTTAGAATGCTTTCAGTACATTATTTCAACCTAAAGCAAACAAATACCTTGTCATTAAACAATCTGTTGACATAAAGAAAAAGCTTTGTTTTCTCTTATGTTAGACTATCAGTGGTATGAATTAACTTTTTATGCAATTGTAAGATTTACAATCTGAGTTTCTTAGAACAGTAACTTAAAACTCTTGCAGAGTAATAATAGTTTAAATTGTTTTGAGAATTTTGATACAAATTTTTATCATACTCTGACCTGTATGTCTTAGAAATTGTCTTAAAGTATACATGAATATTTAATACTTACATTCTGCCCATCACATTACTTGCATTATGTGCCTCACATTAGTAATTCTCATTACTCCCAGTTGTCTTGCACATTTACAGTTAACTCTTGAGGATGTATTGCAGACCCTCAGGGGATCTTGACTACTTGTACCACCTGGACTTGTTAAGTGTAAACTTGGTGTTCCGAATGCCCCAGGGGATACCTGTTGAAGCATTGTTGTGGACAGGCCTGGAGCTCAAGGCCCAGGATGTCTGGGTCACATCTATGGGGCTGGACTGGATCTGGCCCAGGAATCCTCACAGTCCCCATCCCTGCCTTTTTGGGTGTCACTGGGGCTTGCTGTGCTTACATGTTGCACATGTACAAACCATGTGCCCGACTGTTAGAGCCTGAGGATATGGCAGTGAGAGAGAGAGGGAGTCCCACTGCTACCTCTCGGAAGCAGAATACGTGCTGTGTATCACCATGGGTTACGTAGGGCAGGAGTCGTTGTGAGTTCCACTGGGTGAAGTCTTAAACCGGTTAGATAAGGGGATAATAAAATCTATGCTTAGAATGCTTTCAGTACATTATTTCAACCTAAAGCAAACAAATACCTTGTCATTAAACAATCTGTTGACATAAAGAAAAAGCTTTGTTTTCTCTTATGTTAGACTATCAGTGGTATGAATTAACTTTTTATGCAATTGTAAGATTTACAATCTGAGTTTCTTAGAACAGTAACTTAAAACTCTTGCAGAGTAATAATAGTTTAAATTGTTTTGAGAATTTTGATACAAATTTTTATCATACTCTGACCTGTATGTCTTAGAAATTGTCTTAAAGTATACATGAATATTTAATACTTACATTCTACCCATCACATTACTTGCATTATGTGCCTCACATTAGTAATTCTCATTACTCCCAGTTGTCTTGCACATTTACAGTTAACTCTTGAGGATGTATTGCAGACCCTCAGGGGATCTTGACTACTTGTACCACCTGGACTTGTTAAGTGTAAACTTGGTGTTCCGAATGCCCCAGGGGATACCTGTTGAAGCATTGTTGTGGACAGGCCTGGAGCTCAAGGCCCAGGATGTCTGGGTCACATCTATGGGGCTGGACTGGATCTGGCCCAGGAATCCTCACAGTCCCCATCCCTGCCTTTTTGGGTGTCACTGGGGCTTGCTGTGCTTGGTCCCATAGAGCTGGAACTTGTTCTGGGCTTGGAAGTTGGTTGCTCTGCTCAGTGGTCCCGTGTGAGAAGCTCCAGAATGGAGAACTTCGCCCAGCTTGCAGAAGTAGGATCCAGTAGGCCTGGGCTTAACGTTCCCAAAGGAAGCCAACCCAGTGTTATGTGAATGATGTTTGCTTTCGTGGACCTGACGTAAACCCAGACTTTCATTCATCTCAGGCCACGCGTGTGATGTGGACGCCACCTCTCCGTGAAAGCTTTGCGTATCCGTTCCTGGTGCTTCAGATGTATATTCTAACCATGAGTCTCAGGTAATTTTTATTTATAAAACAGCTAAGTAAATTACAAGATAAGTTTCTAAAATTTACATCAACCTGTTATAATCGCCATATTTAGGTTATGGTTTTTAGTTATTTAAAAAAACAGCATAGAGTTAGGGTAATCTAAAAACTGATATATAAATATTGATCTCCATTTAAGAGTTTAAGCTATAGGTTTTAGATGACTATATTTTAATAAAATATATGTAATCATATATTGTTTGCAGGGGTTTGACAGTTTTTGAAAAAAAATTTTTGTTCAAAGTTTATGTACCGTAACTCATTGTTTCCTAGGTAGGTGCGGCGGCACTGAGTTATATCCTTGGACTCCTCAAACTGTGTTTTTGATGGAGCATTCATGTATGCTTCATGAAAAAAGTGCTCTGTGTGTGCAACAGAATTGCAAAATACTGGGTGGGGGTGAATTCATTTCTAAATGGTGTTTCTACCAGTTCAACCAGTTACAGTTTAGTTTTTGGTTTTTTTTGGACACATTTTTTGTTGGGATTAATTTATAAGCATTTCAGAAATTTAAGAAGTCTGAGAAACAAAATAAGTAGTAAAATACTATAAATAACTTTATGATAGAAATAAGTTCCATCAGATATTATTAAGATCTCCCACTAAATGGAGTAATGATGAATTTCTTCTCCAAAATCTCAGGGAACCTATCCCACTTCATTTACTTATCCTTGGCAGAGTTCACGTGTGAAAATCAACCCTCCTTCCGTCCCTCCCTTCAACTGTAAACTTGTAAATCCTGCACAAGTACAGAAATGTCTACATCCGTATTTGCATCTACTTAAAAGTACCACACTAGAAACAGAGACCACGCCCTGTTTATCTCTAACCACTGAGCACTTAGCACCCTCCCCTGTGAACATTTGAGCGGCTCCTGTGGTAGTTGATTAAATGGAGGTCAGTTCTGCATGGTGCCGAGGTCACAAGCCTTAGAGAGGAGCAGGCTAACTCCTGATGTGTTACCTGCCTGGCGAGTTTATTTGGGGATTGCATTGAGTCTGGGGCATCTGCTCCCTGTCCAGAGTTCTGTTTGTTCAGTACATTGCCTCTTCTGAATGAGTATGGTGAAGAAGGGTGCTCATGCCCACTACTCCCCCTTCATTCCCAGTTTGATTACTAGGAAGATGATTAACTGAGGTGCTGTCAATTTGGACAGGCAGGGGTTTCATAGAATGCAGGGTGATACTTAGAACATTTAGGATTGTGTCCTTGAGGACACGTGCTATACTCTTCACCTGAGTCACAAGTAATTTTTGTTTGATCAAATATAAGATTACCAAGAGATGAATGAATATTTTGTGATATTACTAAATATTATGAATATTTAAATTTTTGCTTTTGAAAATTCATTTTCTGTCATAAAAAGATTTATCAAACTCCAACACAATCTTTATAAAAACAATAGTTGCTATTTTATTATTTTAAAAAAACTTGGATTTCTTTTTACATGTTCAAAACAACCTGAGGGCCAGGGATTTAGCTCAGTGGTGCTGCCACCTGCCTCACAAGCACAAGGCCCTGAGTTCGATCCCCAGTACCAAAAAAATTCCAAAAAACAAACAAAAACCCCAAACATCCTGAGCTCTTCTGTGATAAGAGCTATTGGTTATTAGTATGCTTTAATATTGCAGACTGGACAATTTATATTTCAGTTGCAGTGATTCAGCTCTATCCCAGAATTAATTTTTAATTTGTTGTCTTAAAATTTTTTTCCTTAAAAATTTCCATAGTTGTAAGCTTATTTCTTCACCAGCACTTATGCTTTTCCTGAAAATTAAACGTGGTGATGTATGAAAACTGTAGGGGTTAAACATCTGGAGGCATGCAGGGCCACTGTCTTGTCCTATTTTCGGGAATTCTGCTGTAGTGTTTTGAAAACCATGCATATTTATAGGGAAATAGATGTTTATATTTAAAAAAAATTTTTTTAATACCGGGAATTGAACTTAGGACCTTGCGTGTTCCCAGGCATGTGCTGTGCTGCTGAGCTAAATCCCTGGCCCTGAAGTATTTTATTTAATGATAAACTATGTATTATTATTTCTGAAGTATTATAGTTTTCTTTTTGATAAACTGATTTTTAAAGTTTTGTTGTATTATATCAAAGGTAAGAGAATCATTTAGGTTTTGTTATTCTGCAAGTAGTCTTTTTTTTCTGGAATGACTATCTTCATGGCAAAACTTATCGATCCCACTTCTCTCTGCTAAGGATCTCCAAGAATTATGGACAATATTACATTGCCCTCTGTCTTGCCAATGTTGCTTTTATGCTTCCCTGGGGATTTGCTCAGTTTATACTTTTTACACAGGTAAGCTGATTTTAAACTAATTTAAGTTGGATGCAGTATGTAATGGTTATTTCTATAGAAGTTTTAAAGTGTAATTACATTTATTCTCTAAAAGATTTATAAAATATGAAATGATTATAAAAATTACATATGTGTGATTTAAAAATATAATTCTGTATCTAGTGTATTGGTCACTGATAAATATTAATGATCAATATATAAAGAAACTTTTCTGCTATTTTTAGTTACAAATTTTCCTTCTGGAGGGCAAGATAACATCTGTGTATCTGATTCCCTATAGATTTTTTTTTCTAGGTGCCCAGCTACCCCAACTGCTAATAAGGCTAATCCTGCTCTCCATGGTCCAGGTTTCTATTCTGGTCCAGCTAAACACTGGCTATTTTTTCTGAAGAATAGAATTTTACCTGGAACCATATCTCAGAGTTGCCTTCATAATATTGCTTTCATCAATTGAATCTATACTGGGCTTCCAAACAACTGAGTGACTAATGGCAATGTACTGCATCAGTCAGGAAGCAGAGAACAAAACGACAATGTTAATGAAATTTCACGACACTGAGATTTTCCACTAAGGCCAAGATATCCTAACACTCATAATGACAATAATAATATTTTATGTTGGAGGTGAGAAATTCTACCAAGAGGCCTCATACTGCCAATTATCACAAACAATGAGATTATAACCTCAACATAATTAGCATACTGTTTTTTTTTTTAAAGTCAGGTATTTTCACTGCTTTTCTGCCTTTTAAAGTTGGCCCCTTTCAGCTTCGTTGTCATTGTTTGCACATCCCAAAATAAAAGAATGTATTTTTAATGAGCATCATTTCATTGTGAGCAAATTTATTAATCCAGTGTGCTGGTGAAACTATGAAGTGTCATTGAAAAAATTTATTATTGTCAATATCACCCCTCAAAAAATTCCCACTGACTTTGAACATACTTGTCTAATAATTCTTGCCACTTTCTGAAGCAGTTCAGAAGTCCTCTTTCATAAATGTCTCTGTTGTGCTATCATGGCTGCCTCCATTTCCTGAATTGATTCAAAATGTTTACTTTTCATGGTCATTTTAAATTGCACAGTTCCAGATCCAGTGACTAAGGTAGCTGAGGCTCTGGGTTCAATCTACCGTACCACAAACAGCAGAAATGATAATAAGAAAAAAGACACACGGTAATGATTTTATGAGTTTGCTTTTCTTTGAATGCCATACAGCAGAAGCAATTTATCAAATTTTTGATCACATCTCATAATGACATTCAGGAAAGAGGACTCTTAGAACTGTTTCAGAAAGTGACCAGAATGATGGGAAATGTGACAGGGGGAGGATTTTGAGGGTGTGGTTAATGGCAATGTGATAAAGTTAAAAAAATTTAAACATACACCATATAGTTTGATCATCCCTTGTAGTAAGTTTTCTGGATAAGTTTAATATTGCCTTGGTGATTTTCTATCCATTCAGGTATATGTGTGAGGCTTTTTTTATGTGTGAAATTTGTGTGTTTATCTTTTTGTGGTAATAGGATAATTCAAAATTATTTTCATCAGAATATGTAGGATTTTTTTCTTGGTTAGATTGCATAGGTTAAGGTTAAAATTAATTAATGTATCCTGACCATATTGTGCGAGAAATGTGGGTTAAGGAGTTAAAGATTGGTGACATTTTAAAGAGAAAACACTTTGAAAGACAGTGATAGATCCTTAGAATATTGATACCTTATTATTAAGGCTCAGAGTTTGTATTCAGATTCACTCTCCTTATTGTACAGGTTTGACAAACATGTTAGGTTACCAGAAAGGGTAATATCAGCACCCTAAAGAAATCCCTGGACTTTACCTCCAACCCTTGCCATAACCCCTAGCAACTACTAACCTTTTACTGTCTCTACAGCGTTACCTTTTATAAAATGTCATATAGTTGGAATCATACAGTGTGTAGTAATTTCATACTGGGTTATGTCACTTAGCAATATGCATTTAAGATTCCTCCATGTATTTTCATGATGTGAGAGCTCATTTCTTTTTTTGCTGAATGATATTTTAACTACATGATTGTACCATGTTATCTGTTCACCTATTAAAGGACAGTATGATTGATTCCAGCCTTTGGTGGTTGTGAATAAAGCTACCACAAACATCTGTGTACAGATTTTTGGGTGAACATAGGTTTTCATCCCTATTGGATAAATACCCAGGGCTGTGACTGCTAGATTTTGTGAAATTGACAATTTTATCAGTTTTTGTATTTCTCCATTCTGGGGTGAGCAGTGGTATCTCTTTGTTGTTTGACTTTGCAATTCCCTAGTGGCATACAATATTGAACATCTTTTTATGTGTTTCGTTGTCATCTCCTTTGGTGAGGTGTTTGGAGTCTTTTGTCCATTTTTAATTGGGTTGCTGTCCTATTATTGAGTTTTAAGAGCTCTTTGTATATTTTGGGCACCATTTCTTTATCAACTATATGTTGTCTACAAATTTTTCTCCTGGTCTCTGTCTTTAGTATTTTATTTCCAATGTTATCAAACCATAGGTCACCTAGAGCTTCTCTTATGTTATCTTTGTGAAGTTTTGCCTTTACGTCTAAGGTGTAAGGTCTATGTCTAGAGTCTTCTTTTTTCTTGACTGGACATCCAGAGTTTCCCGTATCACTTGTTGGAGACTGTACTCCATTGAGTTGCCTTCTCTCCTTGGTCAGCGCTCAGCTGCCTGAATTTGTGTGTATTTCCAGGCTCTCTGTTTTATACCATTGATTCCTTCAATGAGTTTTTTTCAGTTTCATGCTGTCTTGATTATTAGCTGCACATGGGATCTCAAAGTCTTTTAGTCTCTAGCTATTTTTAAGTGTTTTCTCTTTGCTTTTGGCTTTGTGCAGATTTTACTGTGAACCTGTGTGGTCAGGTTTTTTTTTTTTTTTTTTTTTTTCCATTTTATTCCTCTTTCAGTGCTTTACAAATCAGTGCTTGATTTTGCCTATCAGTTTTTTGTGGTTTTTAGCTATATCCCTTTAAATATAGTTTCTATCTAATTGCATCCTCTCTTCATGGAATGTAAAATATAATAGGATTGATCTCCACACTATGTACTCTGTATCTCTTGTTTGTTTTTTTTTTTCAGATATTTTCATCTTTATATCATTTTGTACTTCCTTTCAGATACTTTCTTCTGACCTGTCTTCTAGTTCAGCCCTGCTTTTGTGCTTATTCTGCTTTTAAACCCATGCAAATGTCTTAATTTATTGTGATATTTACTTGTAACATTTCAATTTCTTTCTCGTTTCCAGGGCTCTCCTGAAATTTTCATTCCTGTATATTATTCCTTGAACACATCACGCACCGTTTACTTTCATGTCTGATTGTGCCAGGGTGTTTTTAAGTGGCCCGCAAACAAATGATGGTCTCTATTTCTAAAGAGTTGTAAAAAAAGAAAAACAGAAAAATACGTGTAACAGAGACTGTATGTGGACCGCAGAGCATAACGTATATACTCTCTGGCCCTTTCCAGACAAGTTGGATGATCCTGGACCTAGGACCTTTGTAGATCTGTTTCTGCAGTCTCAGTCTTGTCTCCTCCTCTCTATCTTATCTCCTTTTCTCAACGTCTTACCTCCTCTTCTCAGAATACCTCAGTGTTATTTTTGAAGTGCTGTGGAGTTAGTGTGAGACTAAGTTGATATGAGGTTTCTCCAGAGAAGATTAAATTTGCTTCCAGCAGGCAAATAAGGCACTCAGGGTCTTGAATCCTATTTGTGCAATGAGATTAAGGTGATTCAGTGGTGGGGTTCAGCCCTTCTGAGGGGTAACCTGTTTCTGGTTCACTCGTAGAGGTAGAGTGTAGTCCTTCGATGCCCAGAACCAAAGCCTGGGTCCTTAGCAGGCGTCCCCTTCTTGGTGTGCCCTGCCCACCCAGTCTGTGGAAACGCCTGCCGAGCCTGCAGGTCTCCCAGTGCCTCTGAGCCTGCACACAGCTGCCTGTATCAGAGCCTGCAGATACTGCTGGGAGGAAAGTTATCCAAAACGCATGGTCCTCATGATAGATTCCCATCCTTTCCCTGGTTTTACCTTGCTAATTCCTCACTTGCTTTGTTAATAATCTATAGCTTTCATACATGTATTTTTTGTGTGTGTTTGTGTGTGTGTGTGTGTGTGTGTAGATATTCCACTTATCAAATGGAAGATTTGTTCAAATATTGCCTGCCATGATCAATAATATAACTCCCCTCTTATATTTATTCTACTTAAGACCAGTATTTGTTTGCTAGATGTTTTTCACTTTTGTGATGTTGTGTGTTTGTTTCAGATAGCCTCATTATTTCCCATGTATGTTGTGGGGTACATTGAGCCAAGCAAGTTTCAGAAGATCATTTATATGAATATGGTAACAGTTTAATTTTTATAAATCAAATATTGAAATAAGTTCCCAGAGTTTATAAAACATAATTAATTCTGTTTATGGTAGTGTTTACATATAATGTTGATGGTTTCTGAAAAGAAACCTGGGAATGTTCATTACAGATACCACATTACAGCACATCATACTTTCAACTAGATGTGTTGGACTCTCTAAAACATTTTTATGTTTTGTTTTCATCTTTAATCTTGAAGCAGTCTTTTTTGCCTTTGCCCTGAGATTTCTTTTATGCTACCAGGGATCGAACTTATGACCTTGCTCTTGCAAGGAAGGTGGTGGAAACACTGAGCTAAATCTCTGGCCCTTAGCCCTAAGATTTCTAATTCTTCGAGCAAATATGACACTGCGGTGTAAAATTTATATTGCTGAATTGTTGTCTTTATCTTAGATCCCAAATATATCTCCCTTAAAAACAGAAAAAAATGATAATGCTTCAGCAGTGATGGAAATCATGAAGTAAACAATAAAAACAAGATTAGGGAAACATAGTTCTAAGTCTTCTCTTATTATTTTGTTACTGAAAAAATAGAAATAATGGAATTATTGAACCTTTCTTTGTGAAAGTAGCAGATAGAGAAAAAATTTAGTGTGAATTTTAATACTTAAACCTAGAAGTGACTTGAAATTCTATGGGCAAAGACCATTAATCTCATTTATGCAGATGATATTTCTGTTAAAAATGACCCTGGGTCTCCAAAGTATTCCTTATGTTATGCATGTAATAGCTGTAAAACAAGTGTTTTTATCATTTTTCAGGTTTCAGTAATCCTCTGTTTTATTTTGATGTTTGGGAATCCAGTGTACTTATCTTCTTATTATTTTTCCTCTTTGTTAATGACATGGGTAAGTGCTTGTTAAGCTCATGAACTTTTTTCCCCCCTGTTAAAGCAGGTTTTGTTTAATACAAGTGTAGGGGAATAAATAGGGTCCTTTCTTGATTATCATTTCCTGATCTCATTTACATGAGAAAAGGTTTTTACAAAACCTTGTTTCTCTTTCTTAGCCTTGAAAAATAATATAGTGTACCAGTCTTCCTTTCCAAAGCAATACCCAAGTAAATATTTTTAAAATAACAAGGTAAACAAGACTTACTTTAAAAACTTAGCCTCTGAAAGAACTTATAATATATGCTAAAATGACTTATTTTTTCTTAAGTCACTTTAGTAGAATAACTATTATAGTAACACAAATAAAACATTTTTGGAACTCCTTAAATTACCACAGACTTTGGCATATTCTTTTGAATATTCTTCATGATGTCAAATCTTCATCTTTCAAGGGTGTATATGATGTTTAGGTTGGGTCAAAATCTTATGAATAGAGTAGATGTTGGACTGGGTGATGCAGATCTTAGTCAAAATGTGGTGTGACAGTCACGTCATAGGACTGATTTTCCTGTACTTACGACTGAGTTATCCTTGAAAGCAGTTTAGAAAGTGGTGTTCCAAATTACTTTGAGCAATGGTGAGATAATTAGAATAACTGTGCAGTCTCTTGGCACATCTTGCTGTCTTGAGCAGCACTCATTTGAGCATGGATAGCACTTACTTGTGTAGTATACTGATTGAATATTTTGGCCTTCTTTTTAGTTTTTAGCATTTTTGCTTCTTTTACCCTTTGTGCCTCAGAGTAATGAATATCTTCACAAACACCAGCCCCGCCCAAATATAAGCTTGCTTTTTCCAACATTGTGTCAAAATTTTCAGCATTACAAAATGGTGGCACCCACACACCATCCACCTTTCCAGAGGGGTTACCCTGCAAAGCGTATCCAGCATAACAATGAGGAGTTATGCTTGATTCAAGAGGCAGCGTTTTAGCCCCCAGAGCATCTAGCTCTCATTTTGAGGGCGTTTGTGTGTCCCTGACCTGAGAAGTCAGCAACTGAGCAGGAAAATGGCTGGTGGCAATTGAGATAGAAGGATGTAGCTGTGTAATGTTTGAAATGTACCATTAGTATAAAATATAAATGTTAATGGTATTTAATCTTCTGTCACATGTATTTCAGGTGATAATTCTAAAGAGAAATAAAATTCATAGAATGGGACTATGTGAACTCAACTTTTGGGTGAGTTTTGATGTTTCTAAGTTTTAAAATCTCATCTTTTAATTTCTATAAATCAATATAAATGATGCACTTGAAAATGATTTATATTTAATGAGTTTATATTTAATGATTTATATTTAATGAGTTTTATAAATAGTTACTGTCAAAGGTAGGAAATAGTCCTGAGCTAGCAGTCATTCTTTTTCTGTGAGTTTTTGATGTGCTCCTGTTAAAAAAATAAAGCCATATTAAAGAGCCATAAGTTAAAAAATATATATATATTGTATGCTGAGAGAATAAAACAAAGAAAAGTTATGGTGAGATGAGAAGGTAGATTTCTACTCAGAATACAAAAGAGCAGAATAGAAGAGTTGCTGATTCTGCTATCTAGCAGCAATCTCCTGTCCCTTAGGCTGGGAGTGTAGAACTATTTCACACTTCAGTTGTTGAATATCACAGCAATTCTAATGAGGTGTTTTTCACTTCATAAAATTTGGGCAATTTGATAACTAAAAAGAAAGTGAAAATTTCAATTGTAGTCTTATTTCTTTTGATTGGTGAATTGAGACCATTAACACTGATGGTTATAACTGATATTGACTTATCCTTGTCATGACTTTTCCTTTTTGTTGGATTCTCCCTTTTGGTGTTTAATTTCTTGCTGTCCCTGATGGATTCATTCTTCTGGGCTTCTTGGAGTTTTGATCCTTGCTATATTTTTCTAGGATATTGTTTAAAATTTTTGGAGTGCTGATTTTGTATACATGGAGTTCCTAAGGTGCTCTTTGTAATGAAAGTATCTTATTTGTCCATCAATTTTGAAAGATAGTTTTGCAGGGTACATCAGTCTGGGTTGGAGGCTGTTTTCCTCTAGGACTTGAAATACATCAGTCCAACTCTTCTTGCCTTGAGGGTTTGTGTTGAGAAGTCTGCTGTGATTCTGAAGGGCTTTCCTTTGTATGTGGATGCACATTGAGGCCATACTCCTAAGTGAAATAAATGGGACACACGTGTAAAGATCAAATAGTTTCTCTTTCATGAGAAACTGAAAGTGTAAATTAAGGGCTAAAAGGTACAATAGATAATGTGAAATAGAAGAAAGGGCAAAGGGGAAGGGAAAATGGAAGGGGTATGGGAAAAGAAAGAAGAGAATGGAATGAATATGAGAAAATGAAAATATGGAAACAAACTCTTTGTAGCTAGGGAGGGATGAAGGGGTTGAAGGGAGGGCAGCGGAATGGGGAAAAAATAAGAACCAAGATGGATTATAGAAAGGTGCAAATTTCCAATGATGAATGTCATTGTAGTGTATACCTTAAACGTACCAATAAAAGATAGATTGACTGGTTAACAGAAAAAAATTTCAATTGCAAGCTATTGGAAAATAACAAAAAAATAAAACAGTGTCCATGGATGTTCAAGGAATTTTGCCAAAGCTGTACCCAAAGAAAAATTTATTGTCTTAAACTATATTTTCCACTATATTTTAAGCAGTAGACTTGAGAGAATAAGAGCTAACTAAACTATAAGGTCAGTAATGTCTAAGAAACAAAAAAATTGATGCATAGGAAATTTGGCAACAAACTTCACACACTATTGAAAATATGCCTTATATATTTGAAAGATAAAATATATAGTATCTGAATAGATCTAACAAAATGTAAAATATTTGATGGAGAAACATTTTTAAATCATAAGATGTAAAGATTTCCAAGTAAATGGAAAAATAAACCATGTTATCCATAAGAAGGCATAGAGGACAGTTCTCCCCAGCTGACATTTGGGTTGAAAGGAATTCCAACAGGATTGCCTTGCAGGTTCCCTTTTCAGGGAACAGTGCTGGGATCATATGGTGTCTGTGCAGGGCAAGTTCACATTATCACAGACAGAAGCTGCAGGCACAGCCATTGTAAATGCTCCTGCCACACCCTTTGTGTCCTCCACACGCAGTCGTGATCCCCAAGTACACTGTGGCTCAGCAAGATGCTCCGGGCCCAGCCCTCCTGGAACCAGCCCTGGGTCTCTACAGTGGAGAATGGGCTTCCTCAGGACCTCACTTCCTCCTCCTTTTTTTGAGATGGTGACAGTGCTCTCTATCTATATACCTACATATAGATAGATTCTTATTTGTATTTGTAATCTGAAGTTTGTGCTGTTACTATTTTTTGCCTTTTAAGTCTCTGATCTGAGTCCATTCTCAATCTTCCGGGCCTCTATTCACATACAGTGGGTTCTCTTTTCCTCTGAGTAGTTTGGTTCATTTTGGGGTCCTTCTGCTCCTCCCCCTATACCACTCTGTAAAGGTCTCCCCTTAATCTCTGCAGAGGCTCTGGTCAGAAACAGATCTTCTGTCTGTGTTACTTCCTTTTCTATTGACAGGAAATGTGGAGTTGTGCTGTCCCCCATTTTCTGCATTTGTGGCTGTCAGGTTTCATGTGTAGAGATTTGGGTTTAGGCTGCTGTCATTCTCCTCAGGCTGCCCAGAAATCTGCATTGGCTCTGTGTGTAATCAAGGGCAGCCAGAAAGTAACAGAAGCCTCACTGTCAGCTCCAGTGCATATTTCTCTTTTGAAAGGGAAAATTGTTATCAAAATTTTCTTTCTTGAAGAGGGACTCACGTAATTTTACTTCCAAAGGAATAATAGAAGCATTTTAATATAGTGTTTTGAAATATGGATTTTTGGCTAAGAAATAATATTTGGAAATAAACATATAACCCCTATTATTAACATAAATTGAAAAGAAATAAGTTTATAATTTCCATTGGATTATTGGGTTTCTAATATGTAGACCTCTTGTGTTCTTACATATTTTATAGCAGTGTCATTAATTTCAACTCTTTGCTCTTAAATAAAATTTTCTAAAGGAATATTTCTTTTTGAGGATTTACCATATATACTTCAATAATACGGTATATGTCACATGATTAAAATCTCTGTGTCACTGCGGTATGATTGAACATTTTTAACTTAGGTTACTTATAATTTCTAATACTGGACTTCTATTTTGTTTTCTAGCTAATTCAAGGTGGTGGTTGGTGGCTTGGAACAATCATTTTGCAACTTGTGACATCTGAAATCTTAGGCGTTTCAGACCACGTAAATACTTTCTAGTAAAAACATTAAAGTTCCTAAAAAATATGTAGCTGGATGAAAACTTTGAAGCAATCTATTCTTACCACTTTATTTTACAGAGGTTCCTATTTCTTCAGGGTTCCTGAGCTAATTATTAGTATAGTCAATTATAAAATCCTGCAGTTCAGTGGTCTTTGCAACCACTAGGAAAAAATGTATCAGTGAATGCTGACTTAGTCTCCTACGAACAAAAGCCAGTAATTTGTTTAGCAGTTATTTGTAATATTTCAGGTAAAGTAAAAATACTGTTGTTTAATAGCTTTTCCATTTATTTTGCATATGTTAACATATGAATGGTCTGTATCCACCCTAAAATACAGAACTTTAAAAATTCTCTATTGAGCTGGGTATCGTGGTGCACACCTATCATCTCAGCACTCTGGGCTGGGGATGAAGTTCAGACAAAGTCCTCAGGCTTAGTCCCTGGTACAGCAAAACAAAACAAAGCAAAGCAAAGGAAAACAAATCTCTATACAGTTTTATTTATTTATAATTATGGACTAAGGTAATGATTTTATATTTTAATGTGTTACTGTTATATAAAAAGAGAATGTTAAAAATTCTATCTCCCAGTTTTTAGAAATCATATACAGAAAATCTCTCAGATGATATTTCTGTTTGTTTTGAGGCTAATATTTTAAGCATTGGCTTTTTTCAAGGCCCAAGTTCCTACTTAAGCACTTAGTTTAGGGACTAGAAAACAGTGTTTGATTTCTAGCACTTTCCATTAAGAAACAAGCATACACGAGCAGTCACACCATACTGAGGTATGAAACTGACCCTCTGGCGCCATTCAGTCAGGACCTTGTCTAGCACTGAGATTATGTGAACTTAGCACTAACTATGAGGTCAAGTGCTGTTACTATCCAATAATACATTTCTGCTAATGTTAAATAAAATTTCTAAATGTAAGCATATGCTTGCTGTTTATTGCTAGCTTTAAATAGTGGTGTAGTAGATGTATTTGTTTTTGTTTCTGGTATGTCTGTCAGGTTTGCTTTTTTTTTCTTTTCATTTGACATAGCTTTTTAATTTGTAGGACATGATAAGAGTCATCTAGGCCTTCTAAATTATTTCTTATCAATCAGTCTGATTTTGTTTCTTGTCTTGCTCTACACTGTTTTTTACAGTTCTTAGAAGAAACAAACACGTCTTCCCTTGGTAGTTGCAAGGACTTTCTCTGTTTATTCTGAGAGATGTAAGAAGCATTTGAAATGTTCGTGGTCTCTTGACATTGTTAGTCAACAGGTCTATTTTGAATTAGAAATATAAAGTATATCTCTAAATTACCCTTGAAGCTGGTAGATAAGAGAAATTGTGAATTAAAAAACCCCACTGATAATGATTAAACTTGTTGTGAAGTAATTTCTGTCCCTATCAAATAATTTGAATTCAGGCTGTACATGCTAAATATTTTCCTTTTCCTGACCTTTTGGGAATCTGAAGTTGAAAAATACTTTTCTTAGGTCAGCAAGTAACCAAACATCAGGTCAAGAAATGACAAATGCAATCTGTGTAGGAGGCTTGGTGAAAATAACATGGAAAATTTGTAATTTAGAGTGTGTGAAATGAAAGTGGTAATTGGGTTGTTTTCATGATAAATTAATGTCATGATTAACTGAATGGTGATTTCTTCTCAACAAGTTGATTGTAGCTTTATCATCTTCTCTGCTATTTTTTAAAAGCTTTTTGTATTTTTCTTTTCTTTGTATATTTCTCTTTATTTTCAGTTATCTTGATAAGTCATCATATAGTACATTTGATTTTCTGTAGTTTTTGTTTTGTTTCTGAGATACATCTGAGATACATCTTATGTCAAGTCATTTATTAGTGTCTATAATCATTTGTGTAATTCTAATTCATTTTAATCTATTTTCTTCCAGATTAGCTTGACTAACCTTATAGCAGCCAGAATCTTACACCATACAGATTTTGATACCTTAATGTACACCTGTGCTCCTGAATCTTATTTCATGGAACAAGCGGTATAAATCTATTTTTAAACAGGGTATTGCTAATAACTTTTGATAAGTACACAAAACTCATTTTAAATTTTAGAAACAACATATATGGCATTCTCCTTTTTAAAAAATGCTTAAGTTGTTAAGCTTTAAAATATTTACCTCCTTGTAGGACCATGAGATAGAAGACCAGGAAGGGATTTTAGTGACTGTGTTGTATAATTTTTCCATTTGCAGATGAGGGAAACAAAGCTTAAAAGATTTGCCTAACATGCACGCTGGAGCCAGTATTAAAATTAGCACATGGGCACTGATGGATCCTGGTGCTCCCAAGCCAGTGTGCTTTTCTCTGTCTGAGGCTAGCTTTTTTCTTCATGAAACAGGAAAAAGTTGTCACTGGATCAATTCCTGTCTAATAATGATGAATTCTGAATTAATTGTACATATAATAATGAAGTTCACGTTTTCTTCTTCATCTAACCAGTCACTTATTCATTCAGAAGCTTGTTATTGGCCATTAGTTAGCCTTGAAGCCATTTGCTATAGGCCAGCAAAGAGGAAAATGTCCTGGCTCCTGCTTTCAAGAAATATAATTGAGTTACATGGCAGATCAGTCCCTATCACAATAAGAAATCATGAGGATTATTTAGCAGATATTACTTCTACATTTATTCATACTTCCAGTAATTACTTTGGCTGGTTTTGTTCCTTGTCAGCTCCCCCCGCCTTCTTTTTAAACAGATGAAAATGAAAAGAGTTTTGCAATGTAGGAAATGAAAACCTTGGGCCCAGGGAGCAGTAACACACATGTCAAAACAATATTATGTAAATAAAGAAAATACAAATCCAAATAAAGGAAAACATAACGGACTTAGCTAATTCTAGGTTTAATAGTTAATCTTATTGAGCACTTTGTATAACTCGTTTATAACTCTGATTCTTATATTAGAATGTGTAAGAATATAAATATATATTTTGCTAATGACAGAGAGATTTTACCTTTAAGAAATATCATTGTGGCACTCAGTTTGACATAGATTTTTACTAAGTTAATATAAAATTCAGTAACTATTTTGAATAATTTCTTATATTTCAGACTCCACTAAGATACATAAAGACACTATTGCTTCCAGTTGTTATAGTGATTGCTTATTTTATCTTTAAAAAGGTATTTTCAAACAATTTTTACTCATTTTTAGGGGCAAAATAAGAACTATAGTAGATTAATGATAATTGTTCTGAATTCTTTATTTTTAAATTGAATAATTCTCTAAATTTTTTATTCAGGTCTTTATCTAGTATTATACTTGCTTTTATAGAGATACACATTATTAAAACTATTTTTATTCTTTCAAAAGATTTTGTCAGTCCCCTACTATGTACGGAGAACTACATTAATATTGTAGGTACTCTGGAGAAATAAAACATGACCACTCCTGTTTTAGTCAGTCCTGGAGGATGGAAAGTGGAAAGATTAAGCAAATAATCACACACATAACTAAAGAATTACAAGTATGAGAGGTACTAACAAAAAAAGATATAGTGACAACTTCAGTATCTTTCACATGTAAAGCACATTCAAAGAAGTCTTGATCTATTTTGATTAGACAAGCTTGGGAAAATTTTTATAAGCATTTGGGTTTTTTTCTTTCCTTCTTCTGTTCCTCCTATCCATTCCATCCCTCTTCTTTTTTCTTTTTTGAAACAGTCTTGCTATGCAGCCCAGACTGGCCTGGGATTCACTGTCCTCCTGCCTCAGCCTCTCAAGTGCTGGGATTCAGCAAGCCCCACCACACCTAGCTTTGTTTAGCCATTTAAATGTTCTTTTTCTGCATATTCAGTGTTTTTACAAGAGAAGAAAAAAATGCCATAATACAAAAGATAGTCTTTAAAATACCACTGCCAGATATGCTTGGTCTGGGAGTGATGTATCCTAAAGCCCATTTCATGACAGGCCATTAGGGATTTGTTTGTTTCTCTTTTTTCTGTTTTTGTTTGTTTTTTTGGTGCCAGGGATCGAATTTGGGCCCTTGCACTTGTGAGGCAGGTGGTGCAACCACTGAGCTAAATCCCCAGCCCTGTTTTTTTCTTTTAACCATCTTTGTTAATATTGTTTACCAGTTGTCTTGCCTTAAGTCAATATGTATTTACTTTACATTTTTCAGCAGATACCAATAACATGGTTTCTCAACCATAATACCAGTTGTGGTCCTGTTGAATGGAGTTTTCTGTATTTTGAGGCAAACTGCACGTGTCATCATGCCATATGCCTCGTTCCTTTGTTTTCACATAGAGTGTGAATGATTTATGAATGAGCAGGCTACTCCCTCTACATCCGTACTGTTTCCCCTCAATCCAGTTTCTTAGGAACTGCTCCAAGACAGTCAGGACAGAGTGTCACCAGGTTCTAGTGTCCTGAAGTATCCTTCTAGAGGTGTTTCTAGGTTATTTTTGTCCTGCACAAAGAACTGGTCAAGATAAGCACTAAATGTAGTGAGGTTTTACATTTATTAAAGGTATGAAAAGAGAAGAAACATAATGTGCAAAGCAAGTTTGGCCCAACTAAAAGTAATAAAGGAAGTACACCCTGCAAAAAAGTGGGGTGGGCCACTGAGTTGACAGTGGCACCCAGCTCAATGGCAGCCATCTTTTGTATCTCTCAGTCTTCAGGCTGATGTCAGATTTAGGCTGTCCTATCAAAAACCTGCTTGGGTTCTCTGCAGAAGAGTTGAAGATACCATTGTCGGATTAGGTCCAAGTGAGGGACTCGGGGAAATGTTCTGCAACTGGTGTCCTGGAACTCAGTGATAACAGACCATGCCCATTTCCGCAGCCACTTTGCCATGCCCTAATATGCCTCAAGAGGAAATGAGAGGGAGTGAGTTAGGTGGGAACAATTTCACTGCTCTCTGTTCCCTAGCCAAAGATTTTTCTCAGTGCCCATTTCTGTTCCACCAATGCCAGTTCTGGCCACTTAGGGAATAATGCATGAATGAACTTTGTATCCCTCCACAGTGAGAGAAAGTGCTAGTTAGACCTTTTATTACTGTATTAAAAAAAACAACAACTAAGAATCAAGACTCAAAAACACATTAATAACCCCCAGTCACACCATAACCCCACAACCCACACTGCATGTACAGTAGCAATGGCACACACACACACACACACACACACACACACACACGCCAATCCTGACGTTCCATCCCTGCAGCCACTAAAGCTTCCTTCCTCTCTTTTTCCTTGAAAATCCTTCATGTTTATTTGTCCTGGTGTGGCTCGTTTTCCCCTTCAGGGATACTGCTTATGCTCATGGAAGCTGTCACTTATACACAGTCACTTCTTAGAAGAAAAGGTCGTGAGTGCTGTGGCATTCCTGTGACTACAGAAACTTGAACTCATGGAAATAACTGTTTTACCATCTATACCCTCAAATTGGCATCTGCTTGTTCAGAGGACTAGAACCTCATTTGTGTCACTCTGTGTATGCTAAAACATGCATTCATGTTCCAATGAATTTGATACATTCTTCTGTGAAGGATGTTCTTCAATTAGTGAGAGAAGTTAAAAAGTATAAACTCAGTTCATTTTCAATGACAGTTCAAATTCAACTATTAGTTTTACATGTTTATCCGAGCTATAAGCCACCTATCCTGTGGAGAGAGATGCATTTTTAAATTACCTTTAAATGTTTTGTGTTCCCTGCTGACCTCTTCTGTGCCAACTGCATATTTTCCATTTCCCACTTTCTCTTCTCCAACCCTCACTGTGACCTGGTCCATTCTGAAGAGTTTCTTAAACCTCCTGTAATGATCACATTGGGTTGAAAGAGTAGCCAGGGAGGTACATATGTCCATAGTTAATTCATTATAATCCAGAGTTCTGAGTGCAACGGGAACATGGGTGATCTGGATAAGGGAGAGAAATCATCATTTACTAGCAAGGCTGAGATCTGAAAATGCACAGGAGAAGCTGCCTCTTGTGTGGACATCAATCTGCTGCCCCTACTTTCCTGCCCAGAAAAATGTGGATTTCAACACTAGTAAGTAGTTATACACTTTAGGGAAGCTTAGGATCTCGGAGCTGAAGGGAACCTGAAGATCCATTGCAACACTCTTTGTAGAACAGAGTTATTTAAAAAGCAAATTGCCTGTGACAGAGCTGGGACTTCACAGTTCTTAAAGACTCACTTTAACATGAAAAAATACTTCTTTTATTCACAGACTATTCGTGATGTTTTATGTGCCTTATATACAAACACTTACCTAAGGTAACTATATCATAGTTGTGTTAAAAACATACCACATTAAGTATTAAATAATTTAATGAAATATTAGTTTTTCAAATATGTATATTGCATTAATCTTTACCATTATGATTAAGAAAGGAGATAGGAACCATATTTACATGTTTTAAGGAAAGACTGCTGTTCTTATAGATTTCTTTGTATTTTAACTTGGGTTGAAAATACTTATGTTTATGAAATAACTCAAATTGATTAATTTTAATATATCATTAGAATTTAAAGTCAGTAGACAGAAGTAAGTTAAAGTTTTATTTTGGCCATTGCTTTTCACTTTTAGAGAAGGTACACTTATTTGTTTTTCTAAATATTTATAAGAGTTTTTATTACATTTATTGTTAAATCTGTGTTGTACCACAGTTTTTAGTGGTTTCAGGAAAGTTACCAGAATCAAGGCATAAACAAATACCAACAAAATAAAGCATGATTTATGAAATGAATATAAAATAAATTCACATAAATAAACTGTCAAGGACACAGAAAGCAAATTGTGACAGTAACTTCCTTCTGAGGGAAATGTTACCTCAAATTACAAATTATTTGTAGTATGTCATTTTATTTTACGAACTTTATTTTTCAGAACGTATTCAGGTTTATAGAAAAATAATAAAAATTGTATATGGTTTTCATGAACCTTATACCCCACACTTCTATTTGTAATTAACAATTTTGTATGGTTCTCACAGGAGCTGATTAAGACCTTAGGTCTTAATCATTTATTAAAGTCATTTCCAAAGCGAGGGTGATGACAGACCCGCTGTACTTGGTACTGGTCAGATGGGGGCCAGGGTACCCTAAAAACAGTCACACAAGGGTATTTAATTTGATAATAGAGAAGCACATAACAGCATGGTGGTGACTCCCACTGTCCCTGGAGATTTTTCCCTGACTACTCTTTAGTTACATCTGCAGGTCTTTGTACTATTGAATTTCTTCTGAACACAGTTTTATTTCTTTCTCCTGCCCCCAAACTCATTACAAGGCCCTTCCTTGCACTCCATAAAAACTTTATAAAATACCCAGTGGAACAATAAAATGTATAGTCTCTTACCTCTTCTGTGAATCTAACATAAACTCTGAGAGGATAAGAAGGTTATCTATATTATTCCTGCAGTATTCACTACACAGTGGCTCTAGTAATTAGTAATTGAGATCACTTTTCTGGAACTAAAAAGAATAAATTTGCTTTCCCAATAGTTTTTCTTGTAGAACTTTATCTTAAGGAAATATTCAGAGATGCTCACAAAAATTTATGTACAAGAATGTCCAGTTGTGAAAAATCAAAATGATAGCAGTAGTTATCTAAAGTATTGTATTTATTGTACATAGCTTGAATATTTAATAGAAAGTCTTTGTATTCACTTATTCTTCTACAAGTTTAGCACCCTCTGGAAATCAGTAAAACCCATTTTATCTTAACCAAAGAATAGCTTTTTGACAAACTTTGTATAGGATGACTATAAATTATGCCTTTTAAATTTTTAGTAGTATTATCTAATTTTTATTTTTATTTATGCTCCTGACTCATTTAGAGAGAATCAAATTTCAAAAATCTAAGGATACATGAAGCTATTCTTACATAATCATACAGTAATGAGCATTCAGTAAATAGATAATATTTCTGTTTTATTCCAGAAAACAGCTCCTTGAACATGGTGAGGTAAAGATCTTCTCATTTTATTCTCTGGTAGGATACTGTGTTAAATTCTAGTTCAAAGATAATTTATGAGGGTGCTGTCTTGCTTGAGTTGTTGAACACTGTTAATGCATTTCTGCTGATCCTTCTCTCCAGGGTTTCCCACTAAAATCTCAGCTTCTCAAGGGTGGAAGTCACTCAGTTGTATCTGAAACCCCGCAACAGTGCCTGGACTAAAACAGGCATTCAGTGGGTCTTTGTTGAATGAATAGATGTTAATAGGGATAGTAATATGTTAGATTTGGCCTACATACTAATAGTTTTAATATACTTTATTTGTCATAAAATACATAAAGTGAACGTGTTGTTTTGTTTTGTATTTTTATAGCTGGTTTTTCACACATTGCAGTTGTTAGCATTTGCAGCCCTTGCCATCTTAATTTTGAGGCTGAAGCTGTTTTTGACACCGCACATGTGTGTTATGGCTTCCTTGATCTGCTCTCGACGGGTAAGGTGTCCACTGTCTTACATGCTGAGTGTTTTTAAGTGAGATAAGCTAGATTATTTAGAATGATAGTTCATGACTCACTACTGAGCATGCAAAGTGATGTTGGGTGGCTTTGCAAATGACTCCTAGAGTGTAGCTGATGTTTCTATGTGGAGTGAGAAGCACTTTCCCCTCTCACAAACACAGTCTGCAGCCCTCCAGAGCCACCCTGGGGTGCTCATTCAGTACTGAGCAGATGCCGAGCAACTGCTCTAGAGTAGTCCAGCGTGGCCCTGAGAATCCGAAGACAGGCTGTCAGTCCCGTGGCTCTCTTACTGCATCTAAAGTACAGAACAGCTAGGTAAATCAGCTAGAATTGTGGCGCCTCTGTAAGCACCTAAGTTTTGATTATGGGTGTGTCTGAAAAGATCACGATGCCTATTTTCCTGAGAGGTACATATCACTGCAAATAGATTTTTCCTGGTTTATCAAGATGTTCATAAAAGGCAGCCCCACATGATAAAGGACTAGGATGCTTCAGAGTTGTAACGTGCTAATCTTAACTCTTGATTGTAAATTGGTTCTAGAGGGATCCAGTCTTCCTTCCATAATTATTTTGAGAGGAAAAAAAGCTTTATTTTATTTGGACTCAGTAATTCAAACATATTCTTAAGCACTAAGTGATGCTAATTATAATTATGTGCTTTAGTTTGTTGATAGAAAAACCTTGGCTTTAGTAATAAGGTGAGAATTTATATTTGAACTTAGCACTCTCTATATATAAGAATTATAAATAAATGTTTATCTATTTCAGCTCTTTGGCTGGCTTTTTCAAAGATTTCGTTTTGAGAGTGTTATCTTTGGCATTCTAGCAGCAATGTCAATACAAGGCTGTGCAAACCTCCATAATCAGTGGAGCATACGAGGAGAATTTACTAATATGCCTCAGGAAGAACTTCTACTATGGATCAAATACAATACCAGACCAGGTATGCAGCTATTTAGTTATATGTGTCCTCACTTTTCCCCATACACACACATGTAGTTCTAACTAGTTGGTATTGTGTGTGTGTGTGTGTGTGTGTGTGTGTGTGAAGTTGGACTTAGTGGAGTTAACTTACAATTTCTTGACTTTACAGTAGTGTGGAAGAATACACATTAATTACAAATTGTGCTTCAAATTTGAATTGCAGTCTTTCCCAACCTAGGCCTAATAGTCTGTTGTGATACTGTGCTGCCAGCATTTTACAGATACTGTATTTTGTGTTTTCCTTCAGAGTTAACACTGAGAATACTTAGTGATAGTCAAAAATAAACATTGAGCTGTTTTGGTAGACCTGAATAGTTTGCCTTGTTTTTATTAGTAATTTTATTGTGCTGACTAAAAATAATCACAAACTTCCTAATTACATGAACATTTATCATACAGAAATGTCAGAAAGTAAGCATTTGGTCTTCCAATAAACAAAATGGAAACTAAAGGTAGGTACTAGATTTGATATATTCTTAGTTATGACCAAATATGTACACAACACTCAAAAAGTACTACTAATAAAAAACTAACTGCTTTGATGAAATGTATGAATGGTCTAGACTCAGACATAAGAAACTAAGAAAACACAATGATGAATATTTTCAGACCAACTAGGGTGAGACCGCAGTGTTCTCTGGCAAATCCGCAAGACCATACTCTTCACAACACAGCATCACTTGAGAAGATGCACCCTGAGTCTTGCCTTTCATAGCAGTCTCTCGTTTCCTAGCATTTTAAATGCTTTAACTTCATCACAAGACATGAAACGTTCCCTTCCATCTCTTCCATGTGTGTTGCTCACACATGACAGGAAGAGGCCGAGAGGCTGAACTGTGCATCCTTTATCTGTGCCGTCTTGGAGACTCACTTCACTTCGCTGTGTCTCTGCCTCTTCACCCATGCAGTGAGGGAAGGTGTGCACGTGGGACCACTTAGTCCTTGTGAAAATATTGAGCATAGTCCCTAGCACCAGTGTAACAAAGGTTAGCTATTAGAACAGCAGGCAATGAGGAAATATGGAGTGAATAAAAAGAATGATGTCCGTGATTATTTTATATGAGTGTGTGTGAGTGTGTGTGTCAAGTGAACCCAGGGCCTTGAATGTGCAAGACAAGTGCTCTACCAATGACCTTCACCCAAAGCCCCTGTGGTTCTTATTTAAATATGTTTCATCTTTTAAAATGTGAATTCAAGTACTGTGGATAAGTTTAACTTTTGGTTTTCTTGTTTGTCAGATGCTGTTTTCGCAGGCACCATGCAGACGATGGCGAGCATCAAGCTGTCCACGCAACACCCCATTGTGAACCACCCGCACTATGAGGACGCAGACTTGAGGTTGGCTACCACTGGCTCTGTCACCCTGACTCATGTTCTGCCTGCTGCTGGTGTTTAGGGACAGGGAATGTTCACACACACACACACACACACACGTGCATTCTCATCCTCATATTCATCTTTGAAGTTTGAGAAACATATGTAATAATCATCCAGAAATGACAATATAGGTCAGTTTCCTCTGAAGCAGTTATAATAAATGTCAGAAAAGTGAAAAAATGAAACTTTATTTTTGCTCAGTGAGAAGTGTGTCACATATATAGCATGAGAGAGCAGAGAGACACAAGGGAGATGGAGGGGGGAGAGAAAGAGAGGAAGAAAGAGGGAAGGAGAATAATATCTGTTCCAGGAAAACTCATAAGTAGCAGTGAGAGGAGGCTGGCAAAATGCCTTAAATTTTCATCAATGCATGCATTATGTCAAATTTTGTATACTTTATTTTCCTCTTTTAAAAAGTAATTGGTTACCAATAAGATCTAGAATGTTTCTTACATCAGGCAGAACTGAAAAACTATAGTATACATTGAAGGCTAAAAGTTTTGTTTTCTTTACATAGCTTCTTTTTAAAACTTATTTTGATCATTGTTAGTTGACGGGGTAATCTTTTGCTTGTTAGGTCTATTCTTAGAGTTAAATTTCAAAGGTTTGTGTCTGGTTGTGGTGATTAGGTATCATTTATGTCCTAAATCATCCTAAGTAACATTTAATATGCAAGTGTTCAATTCTTCAAAACTTTCTAAGAATTCCACCTTAAGACCAAACCATCTCCTGTAGCATAACTTAGAGATTCTGCAAGGAGCCTTTTCTTTTTTTTTTTTTTTTTTTTTCTTTTTTTTTTTTTTTTTTTCACTGCTGGGGATTGAACCCAAGGCCTTGTACATGCTGGGTGAGCATCTCCCATGGGCCACATCCCCAGCACTGAGGTGCTTTCTGTACCTGTCTCAATACCCTAGATGTGAATGGTGTATGTATATTTGCTTTATTCAACTTCAACTCACCTATTTTTCTGAGCTTCTACAGATGAAATTCTCTACCAAAGTAACCTTTCACTGTAGTCAGCCTCTATCAGAATTATTCCATGTTCAGATTATTTTGTGGATAATGTGAAGCACAATTTGCATCCTGGGCTCTTATTCTTCTACCTAGTACAACTTTAGATGAGGCTATAAACTACCAAGCAGAATATGCAAAATTCCAACCATTCTAAGTTTTAGCACATTCAAAATTGAAGGCAGAATGTGGAAAGGGCTATCACAAAAGTAAGTATATTGTCTTCATGTTCATTAATACTCCATCCAGTGAGGCTTTTCATTTCAAGTTGCTACCAAGTTTGCTTTAGTCCATTATCATTTATTTAAAACTTTTCTTCTTATTATTGTTTCAATTTAAAGGGCCCGAACAAAAATAGTTTATTCTGTGTATAGTCGAAAATCTGCGAAAGAAGTGAGAGATAAACTGCTGGCATTACACGTGAATTACTATGTTTTAGAAGAAGCATGGTGTATTTGGAGAACCAAGTGAGTGTTAACACTATGCTATATCATGTCATATTTTAAAGTGACAAATGTTTCACTCTGCTGCAGTAGTCTTGGTTCTTTATGACGTGCTGTTCTCAATGAATTTCATTAAACTACTAAACTGGTATTTTAGCTAAAAATTTCAATTTGAGAAGTAAGATTATATTTAAGTAGAACCTAATTAAAATATATTTTTCATGTTCGAATTAGCAGACAAGAACATTAGAGCAGTTAAATTAATTGTCTTATGGCAAAAAATTGAAACATGGAAAACATTTTTTGTACGTAGAAAAGCAATTTATTCCATTATAAGCACTTATCTAATTAGTCATGGAGAGTGGCATGCCTACTAGTGAAACAGGTCACTTAAAATGGAGTTGGTATCAAACTACCGGTCAAGGACTAACTCCTAAAAAAGAAAAGAAAAGAAAAAACAACTCTTATCAAGGATTAATTTAATTTTAAGAACAAATAAAAGCTGTCACATCACCCTTCTCAACTCAGTCTACCTGAGGCACAACTGTCAAGTAAAAACATACAACACAACTTGGTGGTCCCAAGTTAAAACAACAACAAAAACCATTTCACAGCAAGGAAAGGAATAATAGAAAAACAACTCAAGAAATACACTAACAAGCAAAAGTATATGATAAAGAAGGAACATGTAACTGATTTAACTGAAGAAACCAAGAGGAGACTAGTCCACATAGGAAAATGTGCATCCTGGAAAGTCAGGAATGATGATTTAAAGTAGGAATCTATGACTTGATTCTCCCCTAATTCCTGAATAAAAATGACATCTTGATGTACTTATATTTCATGGCTTATATACCTAATCTCACTTGGCTCTCTTCCTTACTCACTCTAGCCTTTACTGAAGCAAGTGAAAAAACTTGGAGATATATCTTAAGAAAAATAGTAATATATGATATTCCCCTTTCTGTAGCTACTTTAGACCTGGATTTGTTGCTAGAACATTCCTGAAGAAAATTTAAGTATAAGTCTGTGGCTTTATTGCATCAAGTGCTCCAGTTAATATGTAGAGAACACCCACTTTTAGGATTAATAGCATTATTTATGGTATCTATTATGGAGGGATATCTGAATAAGGTCTGTATGTCTCAAAACCAGTGTTAAATCAGTCTCAGGGTTGAGAGGAAAAAGGGGGAGTCTAAAGTCTAAAATCACAAGTACAGATATATCTAGGATCCTTGTCCTTCTGGAGCTACACTTCCTTCAGGGTCTTCATCATTATAAATGTTCTCTGCCATCTGCCACACTTACATGGTATTGTCTCCTGATACAGAACAAATCACCCAAGGTTCATTGAGATTCCAGGAAAAAGCAGATATCTTGACCGTGTGATCACTATGAATAAACAAGTGAGGTGGCCCCTCCTGTGCACCTTCTGGAGATGGCGCTGCTCCAATTTTATTTAAATCCCAGACCTTCAGCCCGTGATTAGTACCACTGGAAGCCAGAATACTTTCACTGTGAGGTGACTGAACCTGGGATATTTCATCCTTATGTGCTTCAAAGGAATGCAACTTAAGTTTCAGATTTCTTAGATCCCACAAGCAACAATCTTGTCAGCTGATCCTGTGGCAAGAATAAATTCACAGTAAGGATTGAGAGGCAGTTCACTTCTGTAAGCATGAGCATCAACTGAGTGGCTTGATTTGCAAGTGGTGTTTGACAGAGTACCCCAAATCATGTTTCTGGTCATTAGCAACTGACCCAAACGGAGACTTGAGGAACAGATGCCAGGAAATATCTACTGCTACTTCTGAATACCCTGTAAAGATGATCTTCGCATCCACCACTTTTCCTTTCTTTAGAACAGCACCGATGTCCCATAGGCAGATGGTATGGTCATCTGAACCATTAAATCAGAACCCACTGATGTTTGGGTTCAAAGAAAGCCCATAGCCTTCCTTCTCTTGTCCACGGATATGCAAAACTAGGTTGCACTCTCCAGAAGAGTCTGGTTTAGAAGAATGCTTTGTATAATCAAAAACAAGAACATCACTGGATGGGGTCTTCATTGCAATGATGCAAGGGTGCTGGCTCTGTTTACTTCTCCTTCATGGTTGATCTTGATTTCTATTTTAATTTTGCCACTAACAGAGCCAAAACCTCCAAATTTTCCTTCCTCACTGTCATAGTATGACATATCAAACTGGGCTTCATCATTAGGGAGCTGTGTGCTGGCTGTCATAAGGTGGTTTTGTTCATCTGATGTGTACATTCCCAGCACAAGTTTATGAATGCTGAAATCTTTCCCTTCTGGTCTAGTTACATCTGGAAGCCACTGTGCAGTTAGTCTGATCCACTCTAGAGCATGTGTCATCATCACATTCATAAGAAAAGGCATGTTCTTTCTCCACGTGTTTTACTCCTTGTTGATTACATATTCTTCTGCTGTATCATCAAAAGCTGCTTCCTTGTCAGCCACAGCAGCAGGAAAGCCAGGAGGACTCTGGGGCTGAATGACAGGGAGGAGAAAACATTTTTTAAAGACCCCAACTGATCGTCTAATTATGAAAAATCCAAGATGCAAAATATACTGGATAAAATTAATGTCAGATACTAATGACAGATAAGACATGAAAGAATGAAGTATTGGTGAGCTTGAAGATCAGTGATCTGTGGGGCAACTTCAAGTGATTCAACATACCTGCAACATAGGAGTCCCCATAAAATGAGGAGAAGTGAATGTTTGAAATAATGGTGTAAATTTTCCCAAAGTTCACAAAAGCTATACGTGCATAGATCTAAAAAAGGGTGATAGCCTCTTTAATAAATGGTGTTGGAAAAACTGGATGTCAACCTGCCACAGATTAAAATTAGACCCTTATCTTTCGCCATGCACTAAATTAAAATCCAAAAGGATTAAAGATCTAAATATTAAAACAGAAACATTAAACTTGCTGGAAGGTAAGTTAGGCAGAACTCTGGAAGACATTGGTATAGGAAAAGACTTTATGAACAAATCCTCAGTAGCATGGGAACTAGCAGATAGAATCAACAACTGGGATCTCATCTTACTAAAAAGCTTCTGTACTTCAAAAGAAACCATCAGCAGAACTAAGAGACAATCTACAATGTGGGAAAAAATTTTTACCAGCTGTTCCTCAGACAAAGGACTATTATCAAGGATATATAAAGAACTCAAAACAATCAGTCCCCCCAA